GATCATATTATGACATTTTTTGCTTGCTTCTTCTTTGCATCAGTGGTCTTTGGTGAAAATGTGGGAGCGGTGTGTTCATTTTAAAAGCTTGCTTTATAATCTTCTCTTTTTACCTGCCTTTGAAACATCATATAAACTCTTAGTGTGGCTGGTTGTAAAGTTAGCAACCACGTTATAGTCCTGCGGGTAATGACTTTCGATCAGGTAGCTGATTGCAAAAGTGCTTCGAGTTTTTATAGAAAGATGCTGCTCCATCTGAAAACTTCCCTCTTCAAGCCTGTGTGTCATTTTAAGCAGATTAGGATGGCAGTCACTGGCCACTAGCTTTAATTACAATATCACAGAAGGGTGTCATGTTGCTTGGCTATTATACAGTACAATAAAAGCCTTGGAAAGCAAAGCTGTTGGCTCATCAGGTTTAAGTGTTTCTTTAGGTGCTGTGAAGTATATAGACTGAAAGACTGATGGTTTGCAATAATTTCACGAGGACAATAAAATACTGTATGGATTCATTTTATGCCACTACAATTAAACTGTGACTTTAACAAGTGTCATTTAGATTATTTCTTTACTCTATACATAATGGCTCTAATGTGTCATTTATTATTTTATTTCTTGAGGTTTTCTTTCTTGAGGTTTAATAGAAAAGATATGTCATTTCAAAATTAGCAAAGAACATGGCAAGTGAATGAAAGAACAGTAATCACAGCGGCCACAAGAGACACACTATAGCAAAGTCGCTGTTTGCCTCTGGGAGTGCACAGTGAGCCAGATACAGAAAGAAACAATGATAGAGGGTCTCACCAACCTGTCTTCTAGGATCTCAGAGGCCTTCACTTTTGGTCAATCCCTGCTTGTGAAAAAAATCCACATATCTTGAGTCCTTTGCTCGGCACTAATGCAACCACAGTAATGCTGTTGAAAAAGCTCCACAGAGTAAGTGGTGAGCAAGTGTTGAACCATGTGTACAAAACTTTGTACCTACCCTTTCTGCGAACCTGTGATACCATTTTGTAAAAATAATGATGAAATGTGCCTTTACTTTTAAGCATCAGTGGGGTGGAGTGACCAGGGTGTTCACTCACACTTGTGTGGGATTTGAGTGGGTGTGCTGCTGCTGCTTCATCCACTCTGGGGCTGACTGGTGACAGAGTGTGATTGAAGTGGAATGACTGATAGTCTGATTTTACAAACGTCTGAGAAGCTGAACACAGAGCCGTATCCAGCAGGCGTCGCCCCCTCTGGGATTGGTGTTGCGTGTTCATTCGACCAGCGCCCACAAAAGCAGCTGGCTGGGAGCTTTTTCATTACAGAGAGTGTAGTTGATTGCATTTTCTCCAGCACTCTCTGAAGTGCCTAAATGGAGCCACTATATACTCATCGCCTCACAGCCATCACTAGGTGCTGCTACAAGTCTCCATAAGCCTGTCAATTTGGGTGAAAAAGCCAAAAAAATAACAATCATCATCAGAGCTACTTGTAGTTTTCTACATTTTTTTTTAACTTTAAGTAATCGCAATAGAAACTAGTGTCCTTCAGTAGTCTCTGGACTGGACTCAATCTGTCATCAACATTTAGTCGTCAGTGCCAGAACACGAAGAGAAAGATACGTAACCACAGTCAAAAGGCAGTGAAGGAATCAAACGTCTAGCCTAATTGATGTGGGTCGGCCATGTGAGAGGAGTGTAAACACATTAAACTGTCACTCTCTAAGTTACTATTCTTAATGGGAAATCAGCTAATCAGGTGTAATATGCATCAAAGTGCATACACAGACAGAAAAGGAAGAATGGAGAGGCCAGCTTTACTGCATAGTTTGGTTTCTCTAGTTGGATTTAAGGCTGAATGTTGAATTTGCAGGATCTAAAAGTGACCAGGAATATGATCAAGCCATTTTTCAATCAATTTCCACATGGCTTGACATGTATAAAGCCAGAAGACGACCCAAATGGTGAATTTGCTCACCCAGCCAACGTCTGATCTCTCTCTCCCTCTCCCTCTTTCTTTCTCTCTTCCACTTCACCATCAATGTCTTGGACAGAGAGGAAGCCCCGCAGTGTGTGCTCCCTTTGCTTTACAGATTTATGTATGCGCACACTGTGTACACTGCTGCAAAAAATATATAAAAAATTGTTTGCCATAAAAAAAAATGCAGAAATGATCACAGAGAACACATAGCTAGAACACATAGAAGAACAAGAATAAATATTTCATAATTGTGTGGTCATTAAGATAAAGTCACATGTTGTATTAAATTCCCATATCTGTAAAGAATATGAAGGAAAAACAAATCAATATTGTCTGCCTGAAACCATTTTAGAATGTGTGCAAAGGATTGAAACTACTTATTCATTCAATGATTATTTTAGCGATGGAGGACAGAGAGTCAAAGTGATGGACAGTAACCCGAGGAAAGCATTTCAGTCAATAGTATCCATGATTTCTTAAAGACAGAACAACTAAGGCCAATAAGATGTATGGGATTATAAAAGGGCTTTGTAATACCTGTTATACATATGTTTTTGTCCCTGCAAACTGATTTCTTTTGCTACCTTATTATCTCTCCCTGCTGCTCTTATTTCATTACAATAACTGAAATAAGCCTTAGCTACAGGGATTTCGGGCAAAATACCTTGGATCAGCTGAATTTAATTATAGATGTCTTAAATATCCTCTAATCTCCATAAATAAGTACATGTTTTATAGATGCCTCATTCATAATTTATCTTATGTCCAACTCCAAGGGGGTAGGGAGTACAAGTACTGAGAAATCCTCATGAAGAATTAACAATGGGCTCATCTGTCACCTTATTGACCCCACACAAAGCTGATTACTTCCCATGTATGTTGTCCCGTTTCTGCTAAGTTGCGTATTGTGTGAAGAACGTGAGAACAGAATTGGGGCAGAAATGACAGGGTCAGGGGTTAAAACACTGCGAGGGAATCAAAAGCAGTTGGCATTAAATTGGGAGCTGTTTTAGGTGTCGAGTACTTTATTGTTAACAAATGACAAAATAATAGCTTCTTTCTCTCTCCCTTGCAGACTATTCGATGTTTATCTAGTTACATTATCAGAATCCAATGCAAAATGACACAGGTAAAAATTTGTAATGATACAATAGACTGGATTCCTTGGATGTGATTCAGTTCAGCCACACACACAGAGGCTACAGGCTAGCTGAATTGATTTTTTCCCCAAAGTTCATGCAGAATTCAGGTCGGATCAGTGGTTCTGTATTAATTTAGCCAAATCACTGACTCTTGATTTCCTGACATAACCTATTAATCATCACATCCCTAGAAATGTGGGATACGTCTTGCATTGAGCTGCATCTGGATTTGGGTTTAGTTTTCCTTATTTTTTTATTACTTCACTTTATACTGTATGATATCTTCTTTCACATGAAATCTGTATATAGTTATAGCTAGCACCATCAACAGGCAATATCCATGGATTTGCACTGAAACACTAAACGGTTTACAGAGAAAGAGTCAAAGATTATAATGGCATATACAAGGATGTTTGACCCTTCCTGACAGGCTTTATTTGGAATCACATGTGAATGCAGCATGTCAGTGTTACGTGACACACAAAGAGTGGCATACGTATCTAATTAATACCTGACACTTGTTGTTTACCACCTCCCACGTGGTAAAGAAGGTCGTAGGTAATCAGACATTTGTGTCATTAAAAGAACCAAAACTATTCAAGGATACATGGGTAGAAACAACTAGCTTCTCCTGACGTAAAATGTTCCAAAACTGCCGTAAAGATCAGCCACTTGAGATTGGCGCTATTAAAATGAGGGGGCAAAGTGCCTCGGTTGCTATAGCAACATGGCTTTGGAAACAGTCTTGTTTGCAGAGCTATTTTTCAATCCGGCAGTGAAGAGGGGCGTTGTGGTTTGTAGTGGTGCCTCCCTGTCGAGTGCTTATTACCTGACTGAATGAACAGGCCCCCGCATGTCAGAAATGTCACAAGGAGCAAAGCCTGCCGGGTCGGGGCTTTGTGTGACAGCAATGAACCCATTCAAAAGTTTCCTGTAATGTTCGACACATTCCTATGAGCATGTCTTGTAGGTCTGCAACTGCTGAACTACTGATGATTGTGATGCTTTTAACACTTTCAAGTGTAGAAAATTTAAGAAATATGGTGACTTGTTGCCTTCATGCATGTGTTAGAATGTCTATAACATATTGCAGCTGTTAAACGTTTGGCACATTGCTTATTTAAGAATATTCAAAACAGCATGATAAGCAGCAACTTTCTTTGGTATGTCAGAAGAAACAGTAAGATTCAACAGTAAATTCAGCTATTTGGCAGTTAATGTTACATTGTGATTATTAGCATTGGGATATCATTTATTTATGAATTCTAATGCACAAATGCATTAGTGTTGAACTTTTTTGATTAGACATTCCATATGTATTACCTATTAATCTGCAGATTATTTTCTAGGTTAAATGTCCATCACAATTTTCTTAGATTTTTCTACACTCATAAAGATGTTAGCTTACAACATTGTCAGATTAGGAAAAACACCTAATTCTCAGTTTTGAGAAGTTGGAACCATCTAATCTTTGTAATTTTTGGTTGAAAAATGACTCCAGTGATTAAGAAATCAACTCATCAATTAATAAAGTAATTGATTGAATGGATTCAGCTCTGATCTATTAACAAGCAACACTATCTTTCTTTCTGTGAGAAAAAATTCCTGTCTGTCTGAACACTGTTCATGTAGGGTTTTAAAGACACACTAAAAACCCCAAAATGTATGTCCCTTTCATATTCAAAACATGTTGAGAATAAAAATAATCATGCCATTGATTTGTGTGTGTGTGTATAAGCATGTATGCATATATACACAAAATTAATTTTGAATAAACCAAACTGATGCTATCTTTTGAACAACAATTTTAAGATAATTATGCACATTAGGATCAGAAGGGTTCACTTTAAAATTTTATTATAAAAAAAACACAGAAAAAATAAAGTTTGTGTGACCAGGCCTCAATCGAAATGGAATTGCAGTTACAGTCACAGGTTCCCTGTTAATGGCACTGCTTGCTTGTTGTCTTCTTACTGATGTGAGGTTCTAGAAGTCAACAGTCAGATTTTAAACACACTTGTGACTTGTTAGAGCAAAAGAAAAATATTGTACGTCCATTAATAATCTAGCTACAGTACATATCTACTCACCTCTCCTCCTGTCCTCTAAACACGCACACACACAGGTTCCTCTTTCTGTCATTATCTGACTTAAGATCAGAGGCTCTTTTGTATACCACACATTGTCATCATCAGCTGCAAAAGCTTTTGCCTTTCTTTTCAGTACTGACCAAGCCCGACTCTCGGTTTGGGTGCCTCTTGCAGGGCTTGGGCTATGGCGCTTAGCTAAGCGGCTCCTCAAATCAGGTAAAATGTGGGAAGTGTCGGTAGGACTGTGGCTAAGTTTACTTTTTTCCCCCGACTTGACTAAACCTGTGATTTGGGTTCTAGTGCTGGGATCATGGGTGCTGCTGCAGGTGGCTCTATCTGCACTGCTTTTTCTGACCCTCTTGCTCTCATGATCTGGCCTCTCATTGTAGTCAGAGTCTTCATCATGAGTCATTTTCCTCTTAACCCTTGGTGAGACGCAACTCTGGGTCTGTCTGCTGCTGCTTGAGGTGGATGCACCTTTATGTAGCCTCTTTCTGTCATCATCTGACTGTTCATAGCGGGCAGAGTTTGTTTCTTGATGCCCCACATCTTCACCGTCAGCATTCTTTCTTTTAATCCCTGACCCTATGCAACTTTGGCTCGGGCTGCGTTTGGAGGGACTGATGCTGTGGTGGGATGGCTGCAGGGGATGGCTCCTCACAGCGGGGCTAGCCTGGATGTAATTTGTAGAATCCTGGCTGCTGCTGGAGGTGGGTGGCCCTGCGTAGCTTTTTCTTTAATTTAATAAATAGAAGGTCACATTATTTATAAAATGACATCAAACTGAGCCTCTAAATTCTTATAATCTGCTCTGTAAACTGATTGATAATGATGTGACTGTTGTATGTGAGCATACCTGTGCCATTTAGCCTTTAGCCTTTTGGAAAGATGAGAAGTTTCATTCATATTCCCATCTCCATCATCACGCTTTCTTTTTTCCCCAGGACTTGACTAAATCCGTGATTTGGGTTCTAGTGCTGGGATCATGGGTGCTGCTGCAGGTGGCTCTATCTGCACTGCTTTTTCTGACCCTCTTGCTCTCATGACCTGGCCTCTCATTGTAGTCAGAGTCTTCATCATGAGTCATTTTCCTCTTAACCCTTGGTGAGATGCAACTCTGGGTCTGTCTGCTGCTGCTTGAGGTGGATGCACCTACATAGCTTTTACAGAGCCTCTTTCTGTCATCATCTGACTGTTCATAGCGGGCAGAGTTTGTTTCTTGAAGCCCCACATCTTCACTGTCTGGATTATTTCTTTTAATCCCTGACCCTATGCAACTTTGGCTCGGGCTGCGTTTGGAGGGACTGATGCTGTGGTGGGATGGCTGCGCGGGATGGCTCCTCACAGCGGTGCTAGCCTGGATGTAATTGGTAGAATCCTGGCTGCTGCTGGAGGTGGGTGGCCCTGCGTAGCTTTTTCTTTAATTTAATAAATAGAAGGTCACATTATTTATGAGCCTCTAAATTCTTATAATCTGCTCTGTAAACTGATTGATAATGATGTGACTGTTGTATGTGAGCATACCTGTGGCATTTAGACTTGACCCTTTTGGAAAGATGAGGTGTGTCATTCATATTCCCATCTTCATCATCAACCTTTTTTCTTTTTTTCCCTGACTTGACTAAACTCTTGGTTTGGGTTCTAGTGCCGGGATCTGGGTTGATGTAGTGGGCCTGACTCTGGCTGCTTCTCTTAGCAAGAGGAGGAGGAAGGTTCTGCTGAACAGCCCTGGAGGAGGTCTGCTGTAAAGACCCACTCAAAGCTTTCCCACTGTTAGAAGTCAGGGCCTGCTGAAAGGTGTCCATTATCTCAAAGCAGGACCTAACACTGCAAGACAATGAAATATTCTCAGCCAACGTCATCACCCATATGACGACAAAATACATATTTAGATAAAGAAAAATACGTCTTTGATGTCCTCTACATGGCATGTAGTTGGAATGTAGCTTTTGTGCAGCAGCAAAAGTGTAAATGGGACATTAATAGTAAAGATTGTTATGTAATTACAGTATAGACTTACTGGGAGCTGAGGGGGTACATGCTGACCATGTGGCACATGGTGGTGAACTGATGCTCCAGCACCTGACGGGGTGTAATCCGTTCAGTGGCATCGAGCTGAAGCATTCCTTTTACCATGTTCACAAACATCAGCAGATCAGTCATTTCTGCAACTTTATCTGCAGAAATCTCTGGGTGGATGACCCGGACCTGGAACATGAATAAACAACAACAAATATCAGGTCAGGACTATTATTAATCACCTCCAGGGGTGAATAAATCCCCCCCAGGAGAGTTCGGATTCTCTGTATGCTTCAGGAATACGTTCATTTTTTAAATATTTTTACTGCAAATGATCACAAAGAACACCTACATGCAGGAGGTCATCCAGAGAGCTCATCTTCAAGATCCTGGTCTCCACTGATGGAGTCCCCACCTCTCGTTGGAACTGTTGTGGTGTCTGCACAGATGAGTTTTTTTGTATGGGTTTGTAAGTAAAGTTGAAATGTGAAAAAGAAAGAGGAATACTTAAACCCATCAGCTGTCTGTGGGCATAAATATTTCTCACAGACACACACACACACACACACACACACACACAAAAAAAGTGGTGGTAGGTACCTTCAGTTTCCACAGACTGGTGCCCGAGTTGTAATCTCTTTGGAAAAAGCAGCAGGTCTTTTGTGCAAAAGTGAGCAGGTGGTCAGGTGGCTGACCTTGAGTCTCCACTATGTACCTGATCTGAAGATACAACACATCATCACATCACACTGGGAGTCCAGGTCAAGGGTAATTACAAGTAAATCAGATGACTCTGGTCATTTCAATAAATCATGAAATAAAATTCTTAATAAGGAAAACTCAAGTAGTACTTACCATATCATATTCACTATTGCCGGGGTAGAGTATAATGCCGAGGTACAAAGTAACAGCCACGCAGCCCAGGGACCACATGTCTATAGCTTCTGTGAACGGAAGACCCAAAAGAATCTCTGGGGACCTGGAGAGAAGACAACCAACCATTAAGACACTTTACATTATTTTATACAGGCCTCTGTATTACTCTCAACTTGGAGTACTTCTACTACAATTGCAGTAAAACTCATCAGAGTTTGAATGTGCAAGAACAGGATGTTTATCATTCTTAGTATAGCCACTCTATCAGCCACTAATACATCTTTGAGATCCAATATGGTTCCAGTTACTCACCTGTAGTGACGGGTCTGAATGTACGAGCCCACGCTGGCAGCTGATGTGTCGCAGGCCAGGCCGAAGTCAATCACCTTGAGTCTGTAAGGCTCCCTTACATGGTTCACCAACATTACGTTCTCCAACTTGAGGTCTGCATGTATTATCCCAACAGCCTTCAAGTGGTGGAGTGCGTTGGCGATCTGAAAGGGTATCAAAGTCATTCATTTAATAATAAGGTCAACAATATTCGATCAGCATTCATTTTTGAATTGTAAGGTAATGCAGAAATAAATTGCAGTAGCACATACCTGCTGGACAACAGGCCTAATCTCCTTTAGAAGGAGAGGCTGGAAATATCTTTCCTTCATGAAGTCAAAAAGACTTCTGTCCAGCGCCTCAAACTCTAGGCAAATATGTCCCCTGTCAGTGAAAACTTGGTACCATCGAACTAAGTTGCATTTGTCCGGGTCCAGCTTTCTCAGTTTCAACAGGGTGGACACCTGGGGATACAGGATTTTGTATTAATTTGACCCACGTTAACAGGTGATTGTATAATTCTAGGAATTTTTTAAAATACAATTGATGGAACTGCTTTACAACACTGTCACAAAGTCCAACTTTGATAGGTGCACCAAGTTTCTTTCCTACCTCTTCTTTTGCCTGCATGACAAAAAAGCCCTCATCTTTCATCATTTTGAGTGCTACCATCTTCATGTTGTCCATCCTCAGGCATTTTGCAACTTTGCCGAAGGTGCCCTGCCCCAGGAAAGACTGCACCAGGTAGCTGCAGCATTCGGAGGCGAGACAGCCTCCAATGACTACCTGGTCATCTCGGGCAGGTGGAGGGGACGACATCTTTGAAGGCAACAGAGGGTGTGACACCTGCTGCTGGGAGCTCAAAGCTGCCTAGGATGGATGAACACACAACTCAGACACAATATAACACATAACAACAATAATATTAATATTTCTATCACAGGATCACTGGCTTCTAAATGTGATAAGACACAACCAGTGAAGGCAAACACATAGTAAATAAAATCAATCAACAAACTAAGGATACAAACCAAGAGCGGTAGCTGAAGTCACCGGGATTTCTTCTTATGAGTTTCTCCTCAAAATATTATAAATAAATGTATTGCGAACAAGATCAGACAGATATAAGTCTGTTGAAGCTTCCGATTCAAAAGTATTCAATAGATAGTTGTTCAAAATCTCAAGTCTAACAAAAGTTGTGTCTTCACTCTCTGACCATACCAAACACACTGATTCCTCAGAGGTTGCTGCACTCTCAGAATGTTCAGAATTCTGTTCTATGTTTTGTTCGCCATTCTGTTCTATGACATGGCACTCTGAATTAACCTTAATGTAAAATAGATTGAATTATTATATTCATTTTACATGCAAAGATATTTGATTTAATATTTTGCCTAAAATAGAACAGTGCTTAAACAGAACATCTGCATTAAGTACTGACAGTCAACTCATTTTAAACAACTGATTTAGATATACATATACAGTAAGGTATTTGAAGGCCTCCATTATAACACAGTATTCAATTAAAAAGGCCTCCAGTTTAACATGATTATGGCTCATTAACTTGAGATTTACTCCTAACTGCATTCCATTGTACTTCTATTTACTGTCATAATTGGACACAGTAGAGAAACATTACAAAAAACATCCGCTCATCGATGTAATGACGCATATAAAGCAATACCCTGAGTAAAGATAAAAAGATAAACACAAAAAAGAAAAACTCTTGTGAAAGTGTGATCAGGAACAGCATCATCAACAAACAGGCTGTATTGGTATGACCCCATGTCCTTTAATAATAAGCAATTATAGCCTGTTGCAGCTCAGTTATATTAAAATGGCAAGAGCTGTCCCAAGTGATGATCCCATAAATACCCTGTTTGCATGTAAAGTCTCTAGTTCTCTATCATAAAAAGACCTCATAAAAATGATCATTTATAGATAGTATGGTGTAATACTAAAATATTAAATCTAAGTAAATATAGGGACATGGTACTTTAAACTGCATAACTCAGTACATTAAGCTGTTAACTCTACAATATTATCACCTTATAAAGTTATTATGGATAGCATGGTAGCGAGCAGTTGCCTATTTACATGTATTGCAGACACAGAGAAACACTGACAATCTTTGGAGGTCTGTTTCTGTATCTTACAAATTATAAATCCAATATTCACTGTTCTTTTTGCTTTGTTTTTGATCTCTATCTCTAGAAGAAAATGTATTTTAGTGTCATTGTAATTTCCACTGTGTTCAATAGCAAGTTAAGAACTGTCTATAATTGTGTACGTGTACAGTAGCTAGTCTTTTTGCTTAAAGTAGATGCCTGTTTTAGAGAGGGTAACAATTGCTTAACTGACATTGCAAAATTTGCTAATGAGTTCAACTTGACATGTGGAACGAAGTTGTAAATAAGGCGACATGGGCACAGTGGAAACAAGTTATGAAAACAACATTAACATATTAACACCAAACCTAAGTTAATACTGTACACTTGTTGCTTTACACATAAAGCAGTTATGGAGCAACATTAGCATTAACGTGGAGCTGGCTACCTGGCCAATTTAAGGTTGAGGGTAGAGTATTAATCATTTTACAACACAGGGTTGTATACTGAGATTAAGTTCTAGTTCCCTTTATGCTACTTACATAAATCAATAATATATGCAAAAATGACAAAAAGTAAATGGGTGAATAAATAATAGGTCCAATATTAACTTTCTTTTTATTCTGTTTTGGGTCTTAACCAGTTCCAGAGGGAAATATCCAGCTCTTTAGCTGCTAAATGCTCCACCATGTCCAGTGTACAGTGGGGGTTTTAGGAGCTTTTTTTTTTTGTTGCTGCTTACAAGCGGGACCAGCTGAAACCAAGGAGAGCAGAGCTGCAGATTCTAATTCTGTGTAGGCTCATCTCTGCGACCGACCCCTCGCTAACTGATAGTAGCATCCACATAGCACAATGGTATGCATGATCTGCCATCGCTGAATGTTGTACTTAAACATCACGGGAACTGTTTGGGATTAAGCTATGTATCCGTGTATGACTGCCTTTCATTTTCATAGCATAGACCCAATTTCCCTCCAGGGACTAATAAAGTCTATCTATCTTACATGAAAAAATATCTGTTCAAGTTTGTCATAACACATTCAGTGTGAAATAATCAAAATAAAAACATTTCACTCAGCTGCCTCATCAATAACTCTCTTACCCACTGATTTGACATGAATTGCCCTGATAATAACACAAATGTGCTAATGAATCAATTTGACAGTCACACATGGGAAGATGCTTGTTTCAAGTTGACTGAAAAGGAGGAGAGAAAGAGTGGGAGAGCGAGAGGAAAAATAAGAAATAGGGGAAGAGAGGAAGAGTTGATTCTAAGTCTGCTTCCACGTTTGTGCATCTCCCTTCTGATGAGCCTTGGTTATTATTATCCCATCATGCCACAGAGCCCTGACAGTTCCCTATTAGTTATTGTCCTATTGTTATGAGCCAAGAATGGTGGTAATTGGAGATTCACTGTTGATTGTTATCATGGAGCTAGGATTTTCTTTTTACTCATTCATTATTCAAGATAATGAGAAGTTTTCTCTCATTCTAAGGCTCACAAGCACATTAACAGTTGTTTTTTTCCTCAGCTTTCTTTCTTTATTAAACCTGCATTATTTGGAACAAAGAAGGGCTGAAGAGATTATTGTTATTGCCATTCTTTACCAGCACAAGTTTGCAGCTTCAGCAGGGTAATGATTGAAAACACACACAGATGTTTAGAATACATTTAGATCCGAATGGGAATTGGATTTAAAAAAAATGTCTCATATATAAGTTGATTATAATGTACCATCGTATTCTTATAAGCTCATGACAACTACAGAAATCCCAGATTAGAGAGCTTGGTCTGTAGAAACGCCAGCGATATTTACTCATAATTACAGTGAGTTAGCCTTCCCACGGTGCACTGACTCATAACTAAGCCAGCCCCCTGCTGACAAATTCAACTGACAGAGCAAATATATACTTCCTCTCATCAGTCAATCCCTTCATCCTTGGTCCAACGTCTTCTGGGACAGCAGAGGGTGGATTTTGCCTGATATTAGCCAAGGCCCAGGCCAGCACACTAGGGGGATTTGCGAGGGTAAACCTCCTGCTTTGATGTCTCTTCGAATATCCCGGCTTGACACAGTAAAACAAGGGCTAGCAGGAAATTGAGTGGACTGATCCAAAAGAGATGCCCCTTCTGACCTTGCTATCAACAAACACAGGGAAAGCAATTAAACGAGGGTAAAAATAGGGAAACAGATAGTAATATCATGTTAGTGCCCCAATTGTGTGTTCATTACAGAAAAGGGAATGTGTGCAGTGCAGGAAATGATCCATATCCACAACATATGTACAGAATTATCAGTGCAAAAGCAGTTGAAACAAGAAACAATACATTTGTATTTGTCTGTTTCAACACTGTATCATGCTGCTAAAGGAAGTAATGACTCAATCTATAATTTCTCAAAAAAACGACAAAGCCGCTGACAGGAATTCGAGTAAATAGTTCATATATATATATATATATATATATACACACACACACACACACACACACATATATATATATATATATATATATATATATACACACACTAAATTAAGACGGTGACTTGGTCCCAAATGATCTTCACAATGAATTGCACAATCTTGTTTTTCGGTGTGGCGTAATATGTTTCTCTTATTAAAAAAGCAACAATGGGAACATGGCTGCCGGACACCTGGGTAATTGGAGGAAGCTGTCGTCTCCGGCAAGACGGCGGAGTGTATGGCTGTCAGTGTGATGTGTCAGACTCAGCACAGCAATAAAAGTGACAAAGCTAATTGTCGTCTTGCATCTCCACGCTCAAAGAAACTCCCAAGACCTCTGAAAAGCTTTTTCGCTTCCATTCTTTCCTCAGTCAGAACTTCTCTCATTGATATTAAAAGGCCTGAGGGAGACATTTGGGTGGCACAGTAAAAAAAGGGCAGTAAAACTGATGTTGACGTTATGCTGGCTTCAGAATGCTGGCTGGTATAATATGGGTGACTCAGAATATAGTCAGGAAGAATTAGCATTCTATCACATCGACTCATGGGAGCCATGATACAGTAAGAACTTTGCAGAAGCAATGATGCACATAAAGAGAATCCTCAGTGAGCCAGACCAGCAAGGCACTTTCATTCCCAACTCAGAAACCCAAGAGTGGATCCTCACCACAGCACTTGAGCTCACAAATGACCTCATCATGAGGACAAAGCATTATACAGTGCAACTGAGAAGAATCAGATTTTAATCTGATGAGGAAGAAAACATAAGAGTTGGTAAAATGGCAGCATGTAGCATTTATCTGCCTGGAAATTAAATTAATGGCTTTTACAAAAATCCACATTGTCAGTCGGTGATAAAGTGGAGCGGTGGTTAAGTTAATACTGTGCATTGACTTAGGAAACATACACTGAGGCCATGTACAGTTTTTAAAGTCCAGTCTTGAGGATGGAGGGCTAACTGGCTGCTGTGAAGGAACACTCTTGCAGGTCAGGGCAACTTGACAGGGCTTGATTAATCACTGTGGGAAACCTGGTCGAGAACAGGAGTGACTAATGACCCATGTATGGCTGTTGATTTAATCAATCAAGAAAAGGCTCTAACCTTGCCAATGCTTGGGTGAGACATAGCTACACACTCAAGCACACATATACACACTCTTATTTGAACCAGCAGTAGTCGTTCAAATATTTTGTGTGATATGGAGTGCTCTACTTAAACCACAGTGTTTGTACTACTTTTTCACTGAAAGAACACTTCCTGCCTTTGTCATAAAAGTTGTTAAAAGTACCGTACTTGCTAAATGTAAAGGAGAAGGTATGAGAAAAAAATGATGTAAAGTGTTTTTAACATCTTCACAGGGTGTGACACTTCTGCATATGAGTCTAAAAGATTAGGGCATTTTCTCAGGAGGCTATTTGTACTTCTACTATAAAAAAAAAAAAAAAAAAAAAAAAAAAAAAAAAAAAAAAGAAAGGGCTGCAAGGCATTTTCTGCTGCCATTATCAACTTTGCTGCAGTGAAAATGAGAACTGAATGCAATTCTGGAGGCGTGCTTCTATGTCTATACTGTTACAATATACAATACATTAAATCACGAAATGCAGAGAAGCCCAAACTGTTTTATGGCTATAATGTTCAGATCAACAATGCATTATTTAGTCAGTTAACTGCTGAGATTTTGGGCTTTTAAAATCTCATCTTCTGTCTCCTGCTGTGTTTTGAAAAATTAACATTTTCAGTAGCTCAAACATTAACAGCAGTACTACCAGTTAGAGTCTGGTCTTCTTTCATATTGTCACTATAAAAGACAAACTAAAACATTTAGTTTTCTTGTACATAAACTTTTTTACTAATGTTTCTGTTCGATCAAGTAGGATAGCTTCCACCTTGGTTTCGTTACAGTCACTGCGTTAACATGCCCATTAATAATTTGACTATACCAAGATGAAGGCAATATCCGATTACTGTACCTGCTATGTAAACACTTTAACTAGGTTAGCTCAATTAAATCAAGGATGACATTGGAGAAATATAAACACATTAAGATTTCCATCACCTATCAATATTTTAAATCACTATGACATGCACTGGAATATGATTTGTTTTCCTCTTGATTGTGTGCCTGCACCGGGTGAGGTCACAGGTCACTGAGTGAAAAGGGAGTTTTTGTACATGGACTGATGAATGCTGGCAGAGGTAAAGGTAGTATATGCAATGTCACATAGAAAAACTCAACAGCTAACACAAACAATGTCACACCTGTCATTTCCCGTACTGAACAAATGATCTTGAATGGGCCTTGTTGCATAAGCTGTTCTTAAGTTCACATTTAGCCTGGTTATAACGCTGCTCTAAAGTGTTTACTGAGCAAAGATGTTTTAGCATCTTGCATGTGCAATTTCAGCATTATTGTTGCATTATGCTGTACTGTATATTGTATGTACAGGCGTCATTTTTTGTATTTTTATACTTAATAATAAAATAACTGGACTGAACTGATTTACATACCACTACATTGTAACCATTGCATTACACAAACAAAGGACCAGTGTGTGGGATTTATTGAAATCAATTGAATACGGCTTCCTTTCCAAACAACAAACTATGGCGGCTGTGAAAGGCCCTACTGGATCTAGAGCCACTGTTCGGTTTGTCCGTTCTGGGCTACCGTAGAAACATGGCAATTCACAGACGGATTCCGTAGAAGAGAATCCACTCCCTCTGTCGATAAAAACAGCTCATTTTAAGGTAACAAAAACACAATTATTATTTTCAGGTGATTATACACTAATGAAAACCTTTATCTATGAATATTATATTCCACTTCTGCCATTAGGTGCCCCTAAATGTTACACACTGGACCTTTAAGTATTGATAGGTTATACAATTAGTTATTAAATATTTATATCTACTAACTGCTAAGTGTAACTGTTATTGTTGGAGCTAACTGAACCAACTGACTGAAGAGTGAAACAGGTGCAGTAACAGGCCTGTTACACAGCAGACATTTTGACTTGTCATAGTAGGAAAAGCAAAGTAACATCATTAATGTTGTTCACTTACAGCATGATGGCTGTGTTCTGTTCAAGTGTTGCAGTAAACTATGACAGTAAGCCAGCATGCACATACATGATTAATTTGATTATTTATAGCACTGTGATTTTCTCACTGTAAAATATTAAAATCAAAGATCGGAGGCGGAGCGTCACAGTGTGCAAGTGTGCAGGTATTATGACATATAATATATATGTATATTTAATATGTGAGAACATCTGATGTGGAACTCAAACACATACAAACATACACTAATGCAAAAGACACAAAGCTTATATACTGTATGAAGAAATACTAAACTCTATCATAACAAGGAGAAGCAGATATCTTATCTAAATATGAGAAGCTACACCAGGAGCACTGATTATATACAATGGCATTGCTCATTACCCCCAGAGGCTAATTGTGAATAATTAGCTAATGGATTCCATGCTCGAGGCAATAAACATTCAATCAATAAATACCCTGATGGAAAGTAGGTTTTATATTTTATTCCAAAACCTTCAAAATAAGTTTCAAGTTCAAGAAAGTAGAATAAGCTTAGACACAATGCAAAGCATCATATACAGACGGATAAAATACATTTTATATATTGCAGACAAGCCATGGTGGGTCTTACATATGTACAGTATGTATGTAAACTTTTATGTACAATCTTTTTTACATATACAAAAAGCCTTGTTTCTATTTTTCTTTGTATATATTTATATATATATATATATATTTATATATAGAGATTTTTCATATACTCCCCACTAGCATTTGTACTACAATAATGAAAAAGAAAAACATTTACATATATGTCAATCCATTTTTTCTTTTTATATTACAAATGTATTTTCATAAAAATATATCTCTGTACAAAAAAAGTTTTTATTCGTTAACATGTCGTCTTTTCTTAGAGACACTTTCCCTCTATAGTTAACTCTCTGTAGTTACACACAGTCTGCTCAAGTCCACGTTTGTCCATTTCTTTACAGGTAACCCTTTTGGTGTACAGCAAGACATCGACACTGAATCTTTGTCTTTTACTGTTTTGTTGTTTTATTGAGGCGTTCAAGGGCCGTGTTGATCTTGTTTAGGCGCTATGGGGTGTCATGAGTTTTAGTCTCATTTAGAGGCTAGTTGAGAGATCTACTGGGTTGGCATGAAATAATGTTATGGAAAAGAAAAAAAAAACATGGGACCTTGTAATAACTTTGTCGCCATTAAAAATATACAGGAATATAAAGTCTGTGGTAATAAAAAGCAGCTCTCTGTAAATATTTTGCTATATTATACTCTAGATAAATTGGACATTCTGTTTTTATTCCAGGGATGACACATTGTGGCAGCACATTTTTCCACTGCTGCACACAAACAGAGGAGCAGTTGTGGGATAACAGATATTAACACAGTATAGATAGATAAATTCTGATGCACTCAGTGAAATGAAATACATTCAGTAGTTTTTCTGTATTAAATCCACTGATCTCATCCCAAATCATGGAACTACCAGTCCATTTTTTATCTCCATTTATAGAATAAAATCCATCTAAGCTCTGAACATCTCCTTTCCCTCTCCCCCATGCTTGCGCCAGCAGACACACTAAAATGGGCTGAATAGTGAAGGCAAATTGCACGGAATGGCCCTGAAAAACACAGCAATAAGTGTGGATGTCGTAGCCGTCAATATGCAGTGACAATGAAAGATGGGAGATTAGAAATGATAGCTGATGTAGAATATGTCACACCGCATGACTGATGGATTGCTTGCTTTTTCAATACACGTACACTGTGGCCTGTGCTGAAAAGTGAGAGCTCTAGTTGCAGAAAGAAATTGGGAAGCTTTTGGTCTACTCCCTGGCTGTGAGAAAATTCAGTGAACTCAATGGGAACTCAAAGAACATAGCTGTGGTGTGCTTCATTATAGAAGAGATGGTGAGCAGGAGAGGACTCAGAGCTGTGTCTGGCTGATAACAAAAATGAACCACGGATGAACAGAGTTTCTGTCTTAAAATATGCAAAGAGAACCAGGAAGTAGCCAGCTGCTATCAAGAAAGACTCTCTTCAAACTCTTATAACACGGCTCCATCCAGAACTCACTGATCTTCATTTTCATATAACTGTACTGAACTTTCTTTGAGAACTTTCAGGACTAACCCAGATGGGTTAAAAAGAAAAAAAAATTCTATAGATGTAGCGCCCATTAAGTAAAAGCTCCCATTTCTGCAAAATTCCCAGCATCAATTTTTTGAAAATGTCATGTTCCCCATTAAAAACTTTTCTAACTAGTGAAACTAAATGAAGCAACATGGCGAACAGATTTCTTCATTTTGTAATTTTGCCTAATTCTAATTTGGTTGAATGTATATAACTCTCTTTGGTTGAAAATGTAACTTTTTAAACTCTCAAAAAACACACATGACACAAACACTCAGCCAAACATGTAGGCAAGCACACAAATCCGAGACAATTGTCCTTGCACATAGAAATACAGTACTAATGAGCCCATGTCTCATTTAGGATTGGGGGGGAATTCTGATGTTATCTTATTAACAAGCTAAATTTTTTCCTGTAAGATCAAAACCAGTTTCTTCAGCAGGTGTGTATCTGTGTGTTGGGGCTTATACAGGCAGAGATGATAACAAGGACTTGATGGAAAACCAGAGCAAAGAGCTGTGAATTCATATCTGAGAGAAAAACAGTATAATCCACCCAATCTTAGTAAATTATGAAGTTTGGTTTTCTAAACACAAAAATGGAGCCACTTAAGCTGGTTTATCACATCATGGGGTTGTACCAAGGCACTATAATGAAGGTAAAGTGCTTATTGGAGACTGGAATAGGTAATAAAAACAAACATGTAAAAAGGTATGAGTCTGGCTCTTTAAAACCATTTCTGAATTTATTGAGACTGAGCCCTTATTTGTAAAAACAATCATAGTTGTGTGAGCTTATGCTTCTGTATTTTGTTTGTCCAAATCTACAGTCTAAATCTAGTCAAATAGAATCAGTTTCATCTAGGGAGCGGGGGCATCATGTTCTATTGCAATGGCTAATCACATTTGTTTGTTTAATACTCAACGCAGCTTAATAATGTGTTGCATAATGTGTGTTAAATGCTGCCATGGGAGGAATGAATGGAGGGGAAAAGACCACTTTAAAGTGGCCTTAAAAGAGACTAACTGGAATGTAATGAAGCTATTGACTGCTGAAATATTTGGAGCCATTTCAGAATAAAAATAAATGAAATGCACAATGCCACTGCCGCACAAAACTATGAGAACTGAGTACCACTGTCTTCAAGATAATGTGAGTGCAACTGCTCCTCTCCCCGTGAAATCTCCAGGGTAATTCAATCGTTTCCTTTTCCATCAATTCACGACCAGAGCAGGCAAGGGGCAATATTCTATCTGTACTGTTGAGATAAGTGAGAGCTTTAAAAGTAATAAAATTGTAAAAGCAATTACCGACCTACAGCGAAACTGATTGAAGGAACAATACAGTGATTGGTTTCAAAGGCCTGGATTTCTGAGGGAAATTATGTACTGTAGGTGATTTTAAAGACTTCATTAAAAATACCTGTTGGTATGAAGGTTGATTTTGACTGTGAAAGCCACAGCTGCATTTATATATCTAATGTATGATAATGTACCAAAACAAGTCCATGCAAGTCATTTCCCTCCTTAATTCTCACTAAAAAGAAGGATGTCAAAGAATACATGGTAAATCAAAGAAGTATGGATGTTTTAAACTGCTTCTTTTTGGATTCAAACGTTACATAATTTAGAATCTGTCCTGTCATAATGGCAAGATGAATTCAGGATTTGATATGGGTTTGACAGTGAAGCAAGCCTGAATTAAAGCAACATTATGGAACTTTCCTACCTTAAAATGACAGCTTTAAAATCCTTTTAATGCTACACTAAGCAAAGTTGGTGTTTACACTGGCAGCACAGGAGCTTTGGACCACAGGAAGGAGGACATTTTAAGAACTGGTGACAGGAGGGTGGTGCCGGTGTCTAACGTGACCAAACTGAACAGGTTCTATGGACATAGCAAATGACAGAGGCGAGGAGACAGAGGGGCCATTAGAGAGGGGTAAATCTCCAACTGGCTTTGTGACAGACGGCGATCGGGCCTTCTTGCTGTTGGACTACTCAGGAATATTAGTGGGGTTGCTATCTATTGTTTTGCTGCACTTGCTTGATGTTTGACTGTGCTATCAAAGTTGTCGACTTGCTAGTTTTTTAACTTAAATGATGTAATCTTATAAAATGCATGAGTACAGCTGTCCTTAGTTACGACAGTATTGCAACTGGGCGCGCCATATAAATACCAAATCTTACAAATTGCATGTAATGGTTCAGTTTGCTGCAGTGAAATTTGAGCACTATTCACCCCACTCAGCATCCACAGGATACACAGGTATGGGGATAGTAAGTGGTAAATAGCTGGGAGCAGGGTGTTTGAAATCCAGTAGGTTTCTGTCCTTGGACTCCACCGCACATGTACATTTTACACACACACACTCACACATTATAAGGGTCACAAAAGCATTAACGTTTGGAATTCTCTCTTCTCAACAGGCATGTCACAAGCCAATGTAGTCCTGCGGTTATCTCTGATGACAGTTCCCTCCTGTGTCGCACTTTCAAAACAATATTTTCTGTATATCACTCCCCAGTTGAGGCATAAACACTTTTTTCCATATCATATTTATCATTTCCAATTTAATGCATGGGAGTAATCAGCATGCCAGCAACTCCCCTGCTGTCAAGCCTTCTGCAACGTTTTTATGACGAGCGAACACAAAACAAAACAACCCTGCTCTCTTTTTTTTTCAAAAGGATGGAGCTGTCAGAAGTTAACTTGGAGGAAAAGACCTGAATGTAATCCAGAGGGGAACAGATCACTCATCCATTCTTCAGAGTGGAGCGCCTTCAGTTGCACATTTCGAGGGAGTTCAAACATGACCACACTTTGATCTTTGTTTTCCTGAGGCCAAGTGTAGGGAGCTCATACTGCATCTTGATCTCAGGGAAAATACAGTACGTACCACCTTTAAGACACAGAAGCATGTGAAGGTGGACCCGGGATCAGAAAGAAAGTCAAAGAGAATGTGCCACTTGTTGTTCTCTAACTGGATGCTACAGTTTTGTTCAGATTTTTAGAAATGAAGGACGGTAAAAAGGATGTGGTCCCGAGGTGTTTATATATCCATGGAAATATATTGTATCGCAGTTGTCATCCCTGCTTTGACCCAGCCAATGTCTTTTTCTCCTCAAGTGCCTCAGAGTGACAGTGGCAGGAAGGTCTTAACCGATGCTAATGCGAAGCAAATCTGACAGTATTGCCTCGTTTAACATTTTTATTTTGGTGCATCGGTTAGAGAGGTGGATTTGTCTATCCACACTTTCTTTTCAGTCTCTCCCACACACAAACATGTAGTGTAAGTGATCGCACATGAATCACTACAAACAAAGAGAAAGTAGATGGAAGTTGGAACTAGAGACTGATACTGGCTTCAGTTTTAATTTTCTCAGTGAATCTATACATTGTCAGTGTTTGTTTTATTGTGTGTCCAGAGCATCCATTATAGTGATAATCCTACACCCAATCCTCAGTATTTCTTCAGAATAAAATCAACTAAAATAAATGTGGGAAAAAAATTCTGTTGTGTGTTTGGTGGAATCTTTGTGGCTCAAACAGACAGGAGATATTTTGGGTAGATTGCAGATGCAGCCGCCACACAAATGCACACAGTCTCTCACTCACTCACATATACACATACATTCTCTCTACACCCTCACTAAGTGCTTTTTTCAGCAGCCCTAGCTACCTTTTAACCCCTGCTCTGGACACAGCTGCTTCAGCAAGCAGAATTTCCTCCCTGCTTCAAAAAAAAAAAAAAGGACTGAGTCAAGCTCAAAAAGTAATGATAGAATGTGTGTCTCCAACATGGCCTTCAAAACTTACTGAATTTTTAATTCATCCTCAACCAGAGACTCGGGCCCACTGATGAAACCTTTCAAAAGCCTCAGGAGCAGACGGTAAGGGAAAAACAGGGTTCCCAATTACTCATCACAGAAAGCAAGCAGCGTATAAAAAAAGAGAGCCAAAAAAAAAAAAAAAAGGCAAATGAGAGAAGAGTGAATCGAAACAGTCCAGACAATCTCTTTCTGTCTCACACCGGCCAACACGGGGCTGTCCACTATATAGTTCACTTGCACAGAGATCTCTGTTAGCTACAGGTCAATTTTCATGACTTAAAGTTGACCATAAAATTCCCTTTGGGTTTAGGCGGAGGGCGGTGAGTAAAGTCATCACAGCTTTGCTTCCAGCATCGCTCCTGCCGGCTGCAGTTTCAGGTGGAAGCTTTTCCTCGAAATATGGAAAAATGATTAAGAAACCATGTAAAGTTACAAAAAGCATTTTGTTGGTGGTGTTTGTTATAGTCCTTCTTGCCTTCACATGGTTTCTTTTTTTTTCTCTTCTCCAGCAGGACAGTTGCCACTGGAGATGTTTCTTGAATGTATGTCAGCGAATAAAATAATCCTTGTCTTGCCCTCTGCTCGAGGAACTATAGATGTCCTCTGTTGGCAGGCAGGCGAAGATGTGGTGCACTTCTCCTCCCCTAACTGAATCAAGAATGAATGTATGGATGTAAGGGGTGATGAGTGAGTAGGATAAAGGACGAGACAAGACACGGAAAGACAAGAGCAAGGAAAACAGTAATTAGAAAACAGAAAAGCAAGCAAAAGGAAAGATGGTTAAAGGGAAATAAAATAAAAAAATGGAAGCAATAACCGCAAGAATGGATATTAAGATGAGGGAAATCACAGGAGATAAGAGAAAAGCATTCATTTAATATTCTCACCAGTGTTCAAATAAAAAATACATATTCTATCTTTTTCAATAAAGAATAAACAAACCAAATGAAATTCATTAATATGAGAGATACAGATCAAAGGAAATGCAGCAGAAAAATTCAATCACAGATTTTTCTATCCTCAGAAAATTCTAGAGGGATTGTGTAAAAGGTTTAAGGAAGCTGGATGCTGAGGATCTGTGTCTTGTTGCTTCAGCAGTTTTGATGCCTTAGATGTGTAATTAGCTCTAGCAAGCCACAAGGCGATAAGTTCATCTATTTTAAGAGAAATGTGGTCCAGATGATCTACCTGGTGGTGTTTGAGTCTTACCTGTGGAGGAAGCAGTTGCTATACAGCTGTGCACACTGTGCTGACTGTGAACTCTGTCTCATTGGCCATGATGTCAGTAGGCTGAATGTTGCGGTCATACATCGGGTTCTCGAACGTAGCTCGTCCATTAGTGTTCTCATGGCCCACGTAACCATTGAAAGGGACTTTGGGTCTTCTTCTGAAAGGGGAAAAATCAATATAAAACACAATACATTTTAAGATTCATTGATAAGTTGTTGTCTGTAAAATCTATGTAAATTGTGAAAAACATTTCAAAGTTCTAGATTTGTCTAACAGTACAATGGTATAGGTATAAAATCTAATTAGAAGCTGGAACTAGCAAATGTTGATTGAATTATCATTATTTTGCCAACTCATTTTCATTGAGTCAACAAAATGACAAATTGACTGATTGTTTCAATATGAAATTGCTCACTCACTCATCACTCACTGTATCAAGCAGACTACTACTTAACTGTGTCTCACTGTTATGAACTAATTAGTTTTCTAGGCAGGGAGGGGTGTTTTCTCTTCATATTTCAGATGATGATTTTCTCATTTTGAGGGCAACGTATGCCTTAGTGGATTGAAAATGTTGGAAGGTGAATGCAAATGTATCTTTCAAGAAAAATCCAGCAAGATTCTTATCTGAAAACAGTTAACTTTGCAGAGGCTGGGTAAACCTTGACTAAAAATGTTTCCAACTGAGACAGGATTTGTTTTGTAAATATTAATAATGTTATAATGTTGCTTGCAGATGTTGGGTATTGTGAAATATATCAATGGTGTGAACCTTACCTGTGTTTGTAGAGGTACAGAGCAAAGCCAGCAATGATCATGGCTATAAAAGGCACTAGGATGGCTGCCGCCACTGAACTGCTGTTGGACGCAAAGTTGTAGCCTGGGTTTTCACTGCCGGGATCTAAACTCTCTGGAGGAAGAAGAAATTAGACATTGAGCCCTTGCATTAGCCTCACGTCAGTATAATATGATTTCAGCAGCAGACAATATAATCAAATCCCATAAACAACACAATTAAAAGAAACAAAATGGAGAATATCACCTTATGTCAAGAACTAGTGATAAAGGTTTAAGGCAAATAAACGATGAAATATGAAATAAGAAATTATAATGGCTAAGGGTGGGCTGACAGGAAGGCTCCAATCATAGAGTGAGCACACAAGTGACTTTTATTTTTTTGGCAATACTTTATTTTCATTTTCCACCCCTGGTAATGTCAAATTCTATTATCCTAACAATGACTCTTAATTACTGACATCAAAGGCCGACAGCTATTAAGTCATTTTAGATTCACTCTGTAATTTATGGAGGTGCGTGTCTGCAACAGCAACAGTGGAGGAGTGGCAGCCCACCTGTTTGCTGCAGAATGCCAAAAAAGCTCCAATAAAGGACAAGTGACAAACAAGAAGGAATTCAATTAGTGGGTTCTGTGGTGTTTGCCAATCAACCTCCTGCTGCATGAGCATGAGCACACAAACAGATGCACAAACACACTCACACAGGCAAACCACACTCGCAGTTACGTCGCCGCTGAGTTAAAACAAAAACACCTCAACAAATTGAGCAGGATAGTTTCCAAAAAGTCCAACCCGCTTCCCAGACTCATATCTGTTCCTCTCATACACACTTAAACACACATACACATGAGTGCCCTGGCACCAGCCCCAGTCCTCTGTATTAATAAAGAACTGTTTGCTCAATCAGTGTGCTGTGGTAGGGTGGTGGAGGGGGTGTGTGTGTGTGTGTGTGTGTGTGTGTGTGTGTGTGTGTGTGTGGGTGTTTGGGTGGGGGGTGGGGGATTCTGCACCTGCTGTTCAAGCACCTCTCTCATTAGAGCAGATTTTCACATCCACTTTTACTGTGTTCCCACAACTTTCTGCGTGCGTACACATACTTAATCTGCGTTAACACCAATTCCAAATTGGTCATTTTCTAATTTCTGCTGATATCTGATCTGGTTTTGTAACTAACCTTCTGTTCTTCAGTTTATCCTGCAGCCAATATGGAAGAAACTGCGATCTGGGCTTTATCTTATAATAATGCTAAAATGCTTTTTAATATCTGCTTAACTGGATTACATATAAGATCTGTGTCACATATGGAATAGGGAATAAAACATCTGAATGCATTTTGGCTTCATGACAGTTTTTCCTTTCATATATAGCATCCCCAACCTGGCTAAGACTGTCAAGGCATTTTTTAATAAACCACCACTGATGGCGGATTTAGGACTGCGAGAACAAATGCGTGAATATTCAATTTAATGTGTATTAGATTACTCCACAATCGTGTGTGTCCACTCAGAAGAGAGATTAAGTCCAAATTTAGTGGTTTCATAGAAAAACGTGAAATTGATAATGAAGATGGATAAGAAATTATGTTTAACATCCAAAACCTTTCTTTATCTTTCTGCAAATCATGGCAGTTTATGCTGATTTGCAGCTAATGTTTTACATAATTAATGGGTCTTTGATCAAATATACCATAGATCTTTTTAACTGGATTGTAACAGTGGGTGGCAGTAGTAAACTACTGTTGTGAACTGGTAAAAATCTAACTCCTCTAAGAAGAACAGCAAATTACCCACCCTTTTATCAATACTGAAGTGGAAAATTCATGCATCTTTTTAACATTAACCCAAAAAATGTACCTCAACAAAGATAGAACCTTAGATATTCTATATTTCTCTTCCATGTGTGCCTAATTTAGTTCACACAGATAAGTGGGGAGTGTATGCAGTTGGAGCTGGATCAAACCACAGAGGGGAAAAAATATCTCACACACACATATAACTGCTCGACTGCAGCACCCATTCAGATCCATAGAGTCAGGACGTACAGACTTGATGTACACAGCAAAGATCACATGGCTGAGATTTCTAGGTCACAAACATGAAGCGGAATATATGGATAGCTGCATAACCAAAGTTGCTGAAGGAACCAAAGAATGACACGAAGCAAAGAATGGATGATATTTACTGTATCAAAACACTACCCACAAACTCCTGAAGGAAAGATTTGGTGCAGCTGCTTTGTGTGTAAGTGTAGTGTGTGTGTGTATGTGTGTGTGGATGTCATTTTCTAACAATTAATCATGTTTGTGAACTGTGTTTGCCTCTTTATGCTGGATTCACAGGCAAATTCTCCCAAAGTGTTTTCACATTTGTAAAAGTAAATAATACTAAATCCAACACAGCAAATTGCATACTGCGAAAGCACTTGCTGCTAAGCTTAAGGACACAACACATAGTTTAAGTTAAAGATTTCTGTTATATGACTTGGTCACAGTGACTTTTATAACCAAGTGGTCAGCTCACTCACCCAGTCTCTGGAGACCAAATTGGCCAAAGCCTTTTCCTCTGACAAATCCCTGGTACACAAAGGAGTTGGATGCGGAGATGTAGGACACCTAGGGAGGGAGAGGAATGGAAGACAGACACTTTATGTGTCACATCCAGGCTTTACAAAGGAGCGCATCATTAAAGTGTCAGCAGCTGGTGCACGCAGAAAATGAAATATCATGTCAAAGGAGCTGAGAGGCACTGTTACACAGCTGACATTTAATATGATGTTTTTTTGCTCAATAGCAAAAACATAAACCCAATCAACTGTGCCCCACACACACAAGTATGTTACACTTTGCACAACATGCTTGTGCGTAAACACTTGTGTGCTGTGAGGCACGTGAAACCACACATATACTGTGACATGCTTTTTTAATTATATCTAGTGTGAGAGAGTGTGAGTGTGTGTGTGTGTGTGTGTGTGTGTGTTGTAGATGTTTGTGTGTGTGTGTGTGTGTGTGTGTGTGTGTGTGTATTTGAGGTGCCTAGGGTTGGGGGAGAGGAGTGGAGGGGGGTCTGCACAGTCCTGATTACCAGGCAATGATTTAACTGACATTTTAATTAAAGAGAAAACTCTTGGTGGGCCCTCCATCTCCCTAGAGTGACAAGGTTAGTGTGTATGTGTGCTTGTGCATATTTCACAATAAAGCAGTGTGTGTTTGTGAGTGTGAATGTGATGTAACACCTCTGCAGATACAAATAGAGGTGCAGGTACTGAACTTGACCCCGGAGTTGCACTTACATGTCCGTCGAGTGCCCAGTTGTCTATTTTGAACTTGTTGACAAAGATCTCCACAGGGCCTCTGATCTGGTGGACCTGTAGCAGCAGCTGAGCCTCCTCCCTCTTATATGTGCCTACAAGAAAAAGGGTTTACAGCCACACTTAGACAAGCTGAAAAGGATTATGTTATGTATATATGTGACACTTATACACAAGAAATTCAAAAGCTAAAACTGATTCATCCTTTGATCGTGGCATCATGTTGTGTGTGACTCTTTCCTCGGTGTCTAGCAGCTCTTCTTTGTTATCTATGGCAGAAAGTCTTACTACAGTCTTGACTGAAGTTCAAATATAAGTATAACTTTAGCAGCAATATAAGCATTGAAATTACAGCACAAACTATGAACATCTAGATCATGTTCAATTATTAGTTCGTAGTCGTACATAATTACAAATCTGTGAGCAAACACTGCATTTCACAATGTGGCTTCTTCATGTTTGCTTCTTCAGTAGCACTGCTTAAACTATCACTGAAAATAAAATGAAGAGTTTGATTGCAACTCTTTCATTTTCCTTTGTGAGTGCACAAGGGGAAATGAAAGGATGATACATGATGCCAAGACACCAACAATGTCTTATAAATGTATTTCATTTCACGTATTTATAACTCCAGTTCCATTTGTGATAAAGCATGGCTGGTTGCAATGGATAAAATGTAAAATAATCAGTGTTTTCTTGCTGTATTAGTCCATGTCAGAGGAAGGCAAACTACAGGTGTGAACACATAATTAAGGATATAATCTACAATATGTTTGTTACTGTCGAAAAAAACCCATTAAAAGACCAAAACCAACAATATCTTAGTCCATCTTTAAAAATCAGACAATCACTGTACTTTGCAGCAATTTTCAGCTGTAAATTTGTTGTACTAGTGAATGGCACCATGTGTAATCAACTCAAAATAATACCGTACCATCATCTATATCACATGTAATACTATATGCATCGGGGAATGTAGCAACATGTCACGCAGTGCAACAGTATGGCTCACTGATGTATTTTGGACAACAGTGGAGCTCTATGACACAGGGGAACGAGCTACTGTATATCAAGCTCTGGTTACAAAGGCAATACCTGTTAATAAGATCCACTCCTCGTTGGGTTTGGCATTTTCATGTGATATGTCGATTTTTAGACAACTACAGAATATCACAAGGCTTATTCTTTATAAGACATGATAATGTACCCAATTATGAAGGGCTAGCAAAAAAGGCCAGATTGTTTATCTGAGACTATTATACTATACTATACTATAGTATACTACTATATTGTTTTGTGGAAGTTTGGTGTGAAGATTCGTACTGAATGATTTAACAATAAAGCCATGTAATTTATATATTTTGCAAACACAGCAACATTATTTTCAGCAGAGAGTGTGGCAATTGAGAGCATGAAGAAACCAATTTTTACTACACTGTGATGAAGACTGATAGCATCCAGGTACAGAGGAGTGAAGTGTCCAAGCCGTTACTGATGCAAATTTGTGTCTTAATGACCGCAGCTGCACAGTAATTATGCCACAGGGAAAAAAATAGAATGTCTGCTGTTCAGTAACAGCAGCAATGATCTACACCATGCAGGGACCACACTAATTTCTTGCTCCTTGTACTCAATTCAATTTATCTGACAATTATCTGTTTGGATAAAACCCAACACAGGTGTATTTGAGTGTGGGTGGGGCGGTGGAGGGGTCTCTGATATGACAATATGGTCATACAGGGTGAGTGTATGTGTATGTGTGAGGTCTTGACTGTGACTTCTGTTTCTGGTGTACCAACCGGCCAGTTTGAGTTCCACTCCGCTGTGGTCGATGAGTGTTCCGTTAACCCGGTTGCTAAACGGTTCAAAGGCAGTGATGCTGAGCATAGCCGGCTGCTTCTTCCCCAGGTACTCATAGGATCCCCTCCACAGAGAGTTCTTAGCGAATACACCACCAGGGACTGAAAGAGGTGAAGGGTGGAGAGAGAGGAGGCAAAGAAAAATATGTTTTTGTTTAAAATCATGCCAGGTGACTTCACTGGTTAGTATGCCTTTAAGCTGAGGAGAGGGGAATCAATGAAAACAAATAACAGGATGTGAGTTAAAAGTGGTGAGAGCAAACCTTAAAAGAGGATTTATCATTCGGATACATACTGTAATTTGCATAATAATGAATCAAAAGAATACAAATTTTTTGATGAGGGTTCCCATCTGCTACACCTACAATATCTTTCCCATTGACAATCACATATAGAGGCGAAACCAAAATATTTAAAGAAAATCTTAAAGCATCTTAAAGTATAAAAGAACATGCATTACCTGGTAATTTGGAGGGTGGCTCCTGCACTGTCCCCACTGGGCTCTTCCCACTAGGGCGATTATCAGCTGAAAAAAAAAGAATAAAAATTACATGTTTATCCTGTAAAAAGGCGCACTGTATTCCTCTGAAAGTGAAAATTAAAGATCCGATTTTCTCTTTAAACACAAATGCTGTAAGGTAATTGTATTAGGAGGATGTCACCATCAGCACTTCCTGTCTCCTCCATGACTAATAACCCCTGAGGTGGCCAGAGTGAGGGCTGCCTGCAACAGAACTTGACTCATGCATCAAATAGCGGCCCTGTTGTCCCCTGTGGGTCTACGGCTAAGTCAGAGACATAGTTTCGCTGCTTCAGGGAAAGCACTTTAATAATGCCTTACTGCTCACACGGGCCTCAGGACTACACCACAGTAGTAAACACACACCCACACGGACAAACAGAGCGAGGAGGGCTTAACACGCGACTGCAAACAAAGACAGGTATACTGATGGTAGTTTATGAGCACAAACATCACCTCGGATAAATGTATACAGACAGAAACAAACACACATGCACACACACTTCTAGAGCCTTGTATTTTATTAGCTGCCAGTCTTTTGAGCTGCCCTTCCATCACTGCGCCCACAGGCACTGTTAATATCCTGTATGTGCTAAGGCCAGTTCTCTTTCTTTCCTTCACTCTTAATGGCATGGCCTTAAAAATACCCATCACCCTCTATAATTTAGCAATGGCTTGGCATTGAATCCATCAGAAGGATATCACCCTCTAGTACGCCTTTCTCTTTAACCCATTAGCATTCGTCTACCCTAGATAATTGTGTGTCGATGAGTCTATTTCTTTCCTATATGTATTTAGGCCAATGCTTTGGGGTGTCTTAATGGCAATCTATTTGTCTGCTAGACCTTGTTAAGACTGCCCCACCATTTATAAGAGGTACTTCTGCTAACCTAATCAATGGGATGCATTGGCCTAATCAGGTTTTGCACCCTTGTTAATGTTTCAAAGCCTGTGTGTGTGTGTGTGTGTGTGTGTGTGTGTGTGTGTGTGTGTGTGTGTGTGTAATTCCATGCAGTGTAATTGTGCGATGGATGGTCCATCCTACCCTGGCATGTGTCTGAGAATAAGCAAGTGTTAACAGAGCTATTCATCAACATTAGCTGAATCCCCAATTTCCCAACCTGAGTCTCCACTGAATCCCGCACCAGTACAGCCCCTAGTGGTTTCAGTAAAGGCTGCTAATGGAAAGTGCACATTATAAATATGAGGTGAAGTGTTTTCAGTGGTTAATCCATCTGTATGCTTCTCTGGGAAAGTGGGTGGCCATGTGCACACATTTGTAGTCTTTTGAGGTTTGGGAGAATGTATCAGTGTGTGTGTTTTTGCCAATATGTGTGTGTTTGTGTTATGCAAGTAATATTGTAGAAATTTAGTGGCAGCAAAACAAAAATGGTGCATGTGTGCCCGTGTCTTTGCATATATAATATCAAGTATTTCTCTATATTCCCTTATAGATGTCATGTAACCATGTTCATACCTGCACAGAGAGGTGGTTTTCCTGTCCAGCTACCATCGGACCGGCAGGTCCTGTGCTCTGATCCTCCGGCCAAGTAGAAGCCAGGCTGACATGTATAGATCAGCGTGTAGCCAAGGGAAGGCAGTTCAATGGCTCTCACATCAGACTGGGCCGGCAGCTCTGGCTGGCTGCAGTGGTGGGCTGGAGAAAGAGTGAAGGATTAAAGAGACCATAGAAGAAGAGAGTGGGATTTTAGAAAAACAGGTTAAAGTGGGGATGAGGAGGGAGAGGGATCAGAGGAGCAACAGATAAGAAAGAAAAAAAATATGGTGGAAGAGAAACAGTGAAAAAGAGAGCCAAGGTGGAGATGCGGGGTCAAGGAAATGTATATGGGATATCAGATTTTAAAGTAATGCAAACGTTTGCTCAAGGTTAGGTTTTCCACTTAACTATACATATGTTTTTGCAATATGAGCAGACCTGTGTACTTACCGATGCACTCAGGCTGAAAACCACTCCAAGTGAGGTTGGGCAGACAAGTGCGAGAAATGGAGCCCTGCAGTAAGTATCCCTTTCTACAGCTGAAGAACACAGTGCTGCTGATCTGTAAAAGGATTGACATGAGGATGTGAGGATGTAGACGGGACAATAAGTATACATATTGTACAGCACACAGAATACTGAACCATAAAATTAATCAAATTCTTAAAATTACCTTTATTTTGGGCTTGGTCGTCCAAAAAGGTTTATTATTATTTGTTTAAAATTAGCATTAATTTATTAACTTGTTTCAGTACGTTTTAAAGCAAAAAAAAAAAAAAAAAAAAAAAGAGTGAAATCACTGTTTGGTTCCAGCTTCTCAAATGAAAGGATTTTCTTTTTTTCTTTTTTGACATTTTATACACATTAAAATAATTGTTGCAGCTCTACTTCTGTATAAGTTATAAAGAAAAATAACGAATGCTGATGGTTTATTGACTGTGTCATGTTTTTATTATGTAAAGAATTAGTAGCTGGAATACTTCTGACCAGTAAGCATAAACCTTGCTACCATTTCCAGGTGAGACTAGTTTTACTGTACGTGCACAATATTTACAGGATTTATTAAATCATCATGAATAATCATCTTTAATGAAAATGGTGGGATATAATGTAATATTCTGTGGGGGGTGAAAACTGAATTTGTTTTTTCTAAACTTGGATTTGAAACAGTAATTTGTGATTGACGAAGTTGGGCTAAGGATGAGTTAACACTATTGTTATGTATATTTGATGAAGGTTTGGTCATTCAGCGTAGGTGACAAGTCTAATACAGTTATCTTGGCCATCATAAAATTGATCTTTTTTGAGGGAGGACCTTCAACATTACATTACTTTACTTTCATAATCTCGGTCTGTCAGTGTGCTCCAGTCCTTTTGATTCCCATGGGAGTTTGCTGTCCTCAAATTGAGAAGCACCTGATTTACTTTTTATTTTTACCTGACTGTTGGGAGACACCCTGAAAACCCTGTTTCATAAACATGCTTTATGATAACAAGAGAACAATGGTCCTGAGCTGAGTGGTGCCGTGCGTTCTCATTAGATCAACAATCAGGTAGTCATTGACTCAACCTTGCAGTCCACATTGTGGTAAAATTAAGGTACAGTAATATACCTGGTAGCCTTGGCTGTTGTTCTGATTTCCAAAGAGAGGAATGCCAGGATCTCCACAGGTAGTGTGACTGGGATCTGAAATACACACACACACACAACACACACACACACACACACACACACACACATACATACAGAAATTATGTGATAACTACTCTCATGTTAATGCAGGTTCCATTTAATACAACATGTCACCCATGACAAATAGATATATCACCTTAGAGACACTGTATGGGGAAATTACATTTTCACAGATCTGGTGTGAAATAAGGACTGAAGGAGCAAGTTCATAAATTACTGTATACACTCACATACACGAATCCTACAAAGTCTTTTATTAGTGATCTGAACCTCTGCTCAGAGCAACTTATAACACAAACTCTCTATCAGTCCACACACCAATTGTACATGTTGCATGCAGTTATTCTTAAAAGTTGTTCTAATCTAATTTTGTCTTTGCAGCTTTCAATGAATAGGACAAGCTAGGAAGCTTCATTCAGCTGCAATTCTATTCATTACAAAACTGCACAGATTTACCATTATCATTATACACTAGTTCCTAGGGCTGTATGCCAGTACAATTTCTCATTTGAGTGTAGTGCGAAATTTCTGTGAAATGATCATCAAATCTAGGTGTTGAACAAGAAGTCAGTCAAGAAGAGGCCAGTCTTTCCAGTGAATTCAGAGCACCTCAGAGGAGATTATGTGAAGCAAAATCAGCGGTAGCTACATACACTACTTTACATTACAATACTTTAATTGATTAAATCTCACTTAATCTTAGTTTAACCCTTCTCACATGTCAGGCACTATGGCTTTTCAATGTTGTCAAAAGTAGCTAATAAATGATACAAGGGTAGTGGAGTTACTACTGACCTTTGGCTATAATGAATTAATGTTTTTGTTATTGGGTCATTTGTTGGCATGTGTGCATATTTTATATCACAACAGACCCTTAGGGCAGGAAAAACTGATTTATTTGCAATTTGTTTGAGACCACACTGTGATTTCCTTGAGTGCACCTAACAGCAGCATCCACATTTATACAAGCAAGGAACGTTTATCACAGCAGGGAACAATATTACTGATGATACGAGGTCAAAACATAAGTCTGAATTTTGTTACTGTTACTGGGACTAATTTTTACAAAAGGGTTTTGCAAGTATGCTTACATGCAGGTCGCAAACAATGGCAGCATCACGCTTCACAAATGCTTGATGAATTTGTCCCAAAGGGGTCTTGAATGCTCATGCATGGGCCACAAGGGCAGTGTTTGCTTTGATTAGTGAAATGTGTCAATTAACATGAGAGGAAGTGATCACATGTTGTAAATTGCAGCTTGTGTGTTGTAAATTTGGTAAAACAGGCCCCCGGTGCAGTCTTGCATAGACAGACCTACAGTTTCTCAGACAGACATTAGGTCTACACGGTTAAGAAAGATTTGACTGAATTCACGGTAAGTCTGAAATAGGTGATATAAATATTCTGTGTTGTTTTAATTAATTACACCGATCAAAATGGAAAAACAGAATCAATACAGCTTGTTAGCTGCATCGAATGGTTTCTGCATGCATTATTTCTTGATTGCAAAAGGGAATCAGGACTACAAGGCAGAACATGAGGGGGGAAATGCAAGCCAGCCAATGGGAGGCTTCTCTCCCACTGATACCACTGTTACAGCGTTATATGAAAGTAAGTATAGCACTCAATGTTTTTTGCTCAGGTTAGTGAACAGGAATACAGGTCATGCACACTGTTGCCTAAAACCTCCATACCCCACCTGTATGTCATTGCTTTGATAATTACATCAAGCGCTGTAATCTAACATATTCAGTATCTTAACTATACCGTAGCTTACCTATGCACGAGGGTTGTGTGCCACTCCAGGTGCCATCATACTGACAATATCTCCTAGTAGAGCCCACCAGGACGAGGGGAGGGTAGCAGGAGAAGGAGACAGAGGACAGATAGGTGAATCCTCGGTCCTCCCTCCTCCCCTGTGCTGGCATCCCTGGGTCTCCACAGAACACAGCTGCAAAGATGAAGCAGGAGGGAGGAAAGAGAGAAACAGCAGAGGTGTGTGTGAGCTGACCGACTAACCATATTGTGTTTTAATTCAATATTTTCCAAGGGGGCTGAAATGTCACACAAGTAACATACACATTATACATGGTTCAAAGAAATGTCAGAGAGATATCAGTGACGTGTAATATGATTGGGCATTCCAGCGTGGTGCCACTTACGGAAGCACTGGGGTTTCTCTCCACTCCAGTTGCCATTGCCCTGGCATGTTAACACAGTGGGCAGGGACAGCTGGTAACCTTGGTTGCATGAGTAGCTGATGCTAGAGCCCCAGGTGAAGTCTGTACCGACAACCTGTCCATTAGGGATGGTGGGTGGTGGACCGCATACGATTGCTGCAAGGAGACAAAGAGGTACAGAATATGCAGGACTTCATGGATTCTGCATATTGGTTTTTGATGACTTGATGCATTCCATTCCAACATTATCTGTAATAGTAGCCCTCTATAATCACTCCTTCCTTTCCTGTAGCCTATGCCATTGTCTAGATTTATCTCATCACTGAATTGTCATTTAAGTCATGCTACACAACTTTACCTTTACAGAGTGGTTTGGTGCCATTCCAGGTGCGGTCCTTGGTGCAGATGAGAGTTGAGGCCCGGTCAGCATCCATGGTGAAACCAGGAGAACATTGAAAACTCACTGTGTGATTGTAGGTGAAATCATTGCCCAACCTCACCCCATTGGCTGGCACCCCAGGGTCACCACAGTTGATTACTGCAAAAATAAAGTAAGTAATAATAATTAAAGAACAAATGAAAATGGGTAATACAATTTAACAATGAAGACAGATGTAGTGGAACACAAAGAGAGAGATGAAGAGGTTGCTTGTTTGGGTTAAGGAAATGGGAAAAACGTTTGCTACCTCATCATGAGCCATATTATTTGATGACTTAATTTGTTTTATATTCGATTGTACTTGGTATAACAGGAAATCAATATTACACACTTAGGATGAAATACAAGAAAGTAAACAAACTAAAACTGCACACCAGTTGGAGCCACAGCCTTTATGAACCGTTATATGCACTTGACCCAAACAGTTCACCTCACAAACAAAACTTAACAATCTAAAAAGCAACATTGTTACAGTGTATTCACAGGTAATTAGCACCTCATTCATTTATGAACAACCACTACACACTACACATTCATGCTTTATCTGAAAGAATTGTCCCTTTACTTTAATTTTCACAGTTTACAGCTGAGAGACTAAATCTTGTGATAAATCTTGTACAATAACTCCCTAAAGCTCCAAAATGAACCACATTTCTTCTTGATTATACTTTGACACCCTGCGGGGAAAACAGTGTGACTGAGTAACAACGGTAGGAATTCCACTGTGTGACTCAGTAGCATGATGGCTCGGCTCTGCTTTAAATGTTTAAGACAGAAAAAATCCAGGGCACGGAAGGACAACTTGGGCTCAGTTGCCTTGGGACTAAAAGGCATTATTAAATGCATATAACCAAAATTCCCAGTAGGGTGAGGAAACTGGGCCTCTTGGAGGTGTAGTGTCTCCCCTTGACTGAGCAAGCACTTACAATTTCCCTCTGGGCTGGTAAGAGTGTGCCGCCTGGAGCCACAATGTCTTTCTAAGACTGTGTACCCTGTAACAATACCTACAGGGCTGAGATACAATGAGATAATTTCTCCTCTTGCATAACAATATTCTTAGACTGTCACTGGCAAAATGCTTTGGTTCGTGATACTGTAGTTGCTAAATAAAATGTGTAATCGTGTGTACATTTCAGTTACCGTATGTTAAGATGCAGAGAAGAACTCTTACATTTCTAGTAGCCACTTCTTTCAAGTAAATCCCTTTTTAGCATACCATTTCTTCTCAGATCAATAAAAATCATTCAACCAAAAGTGCTCCTATTCACATGTCCTTTGCTCACTGAAGTTGTTCATCTAAAGTGGGTCAACATGTACCCTTTCACTCCTATGGATTACAGAATTCTGAACTCCATAATGGTGCTGCTTAGGGTTTATCCTCTCCATTCAGAAGAAACTGGTTCTCTTAGTGACCTCTATTTGCCAGGGTCTCTTAGCTCTGTACAGCAGCTGTGTGTCTTTTGTGAGGCATGATGATAAAAGGACGTCAGTCAGGAGTGGACCATGCCTCGAACCAATTTCCCCCTACTGAGCCAGGGATCCATGAGAGTCTTTCATCACAAAAAAAAAAAAAACTGCCATTACAAGCGATTAGCATAATCTCTATAAACAGATATTTGCATATGAATGCAGAATCTGTAGGCAAGGGACAAGATTTTAGTATCGGAAGCATTCTGGTTTCCATTTTTGGTCTGTTTGTAGTCTGAGTAGTATTGACCAATTACGTTTGAGCAGACTTTGGTTGGATGCAGGTAAACAGTCCGTGTCGAGAGAAAAAAAAAGTTTTTTTTTCTTTTTATTATATGCAGAAACCGATTTATAGAGATTAGTCAAAATGTTGTCTCATCTCTCCACTCCACTCTCTCAAGTTGGACTGTTAACGATGACCGGTGCACGGAAGAGAAAGTCTTAACCCAGATATCTGGAATAAAACAGAAGCCCCAAGACACTAACCGTTGTCATGAGAGGTTAAATCGTTGTTAAAATGATAGTCGTTGATAGTTTTGAGATTGTGATTAGCATGGCTTCCATGTTTTCCTGCATTTCTTGCATAACATGAAATATCTTGAATTATATTACCTATTTAACCTGTATTTCCCACATCTACAACAAATATGTCAGAGCTATTCACCAAAGTGTAAACTACTGTTCAAGTACAAATTAAGATAACAGGCTACAGGTAGACAACTCAGAAATGTTGCTAATAAGAGGAAACATAATAGCATTCTCAGCTGGAGCATCAACTTCCATTTAAATATGGACACACAAGATAAGAAATACATAGATTCACTTTGTTTGTGAGAGCTGTTAAATACCGGAGCACTCTGGCATGTTGCCGGTCCAGGTCCCGTTAACAGTGCAGTGTCTGGTAAGCAGGCCAGTAGAGTAGTAGCCCTCCCTGCAAGCGTAAGTGATGGATCTAGAAAACGTTAGGCCATCATGGATCAGGATTTGGGCATTCCGTGGAGTTCCAGGGTTTCCACAGGACATCACTGAAAACAGAACAGAAAAAGAGAGGGGAGTAGGAAAGGATTAGATAATATTCAATTAGAGACTATATCCTGGGCCACCAAAGGAGAAAGCGTGTCCGTTAAAGTTTGTTATGTTTGTGTGGTATGGATTGGGGAGAAGGAATGGCGCACTACCATTGCAGACTTTGAAAAACAGAGACCAAAGTAATTTTCCACACCCTTAGCTTCTTCTCATTCCACTCCTTTTTCCATTCACTTATCTGTGGTCAACATATCCACCTACCAACCTAAATGCCTAAAACTTATATTTATATTCTTGTACACCTTAATGTAGTAGCAAAAAATGCATAACTTCGGTATTCACTAGAAGGCAATCAACGGCCATCAAAAACCTTTTGCATTTTCTGGGAACCATTTTGTTTTCTTAAAAGACCTAATTGACTCACTGACTATCCTGTTTTTTATATGTATTCTAGACTTATTATATAAATTATACAAAACATAGGTTGGTTTTCTACATTTCTTTTATACTCCTTCATGTGTCTGATATGCGTTCCTCACTCAGTTTATTTTCCCTTTCTCTCTGTTCTTCATCCACCCAACCACCACCCTCATCATCTTCCCCTGCGTCCTACTTCATAAGTAACTTTGATGGACACATCCTTTGCTTAGAAAGTCCCTTGGTGTCTGTCCGACCGCCAGCGATGTTTCTGTTCATTACTGTCTCCAGCTTGCCCCAGGCCCTCAGAGCCCCGTGGGCTGCGCCCTCCTGTAATGACCAGATGTGGCCTGGCCCTTGAAGTCTGTGCCAACCGAGAACAGGTGGGCAACCTCGGCTAGTGGGCATACCACACAGCAGAGAGGGAAGAAGACAGAGTGAAGCAAAGGAGAGAGGTGGTGGTAGTGTGTGGAGTGGGGTTGCCTGTGTGTTTGAGTATGTGTGTGTGTGTGTGTGTGTGTGTGTGTGTGTGTGTGTGTGTGTGTGTGTGTGTGTGTGTGTGTAGGGGTTTGTTAAGAGTACAAGTGAAAACAGCCTGGGAGACAGGATGAAGCTTCTGGAAATACCATACTGCATACAAGGATGGGGGAGGAGGAGATGTGTGTTCACAGACAGTAAGAAGAGAGCAGGGGAAAAAAAACAACATATAACTGCAGATAGAACTTGCCAACTTGAATGCGGAAAACTGCAACGTGAGTTTATTGAGGTTTTATTATTTTAGTGTTTCTGGTAGATGACTGAAACCCCCTGGCCTGCTGGCTATCCAAAAATGTAGGTTTAAACACACACAGAAACAAACAAACGAACAAAAAAACTTTGTATTAATATGTATAAAGTTGATATAAAAGTCAAGCGGACAAGAAACATAACTGATTGGCAACAAACATGAACAGCTGCTAAGATATTGTCTGTCATCATACATATTGTTGATAGTAAGTGATCTGACAATTATCTAAAACGATCACCTCTTGAGATCATCCTTAACATGCTCTTTCTAGTTTGACAATAGAAAAGAACTGCACTTAGTTCTTTTCATTATTTGTCCTTTCTCAGCAATAAGAATAGAGAGTGTAGGGCCTGGATCGATCGGACACGCACAAACTACACATCTGCTTTTCAGGTGTTGGCAGCAGAATGGATGCCATGTTGCAGATGGACGAAAATTAAAAGCCTCATGGTGTTAAATCAATAGAGAAAACATTCTCTGTTATGTCCCCCATTCTCTCTTGTTCAATCACTGTTCTACATTTTTGCAAACACACACACAAAACGCATGCAAAATTGCGATTGTATCTTTGATTCAATTTGCAAAAGCAGAAGTTAATTACAAAATAAATGTCTCTGACTACAGTATTAGCCACAATCTGAGTGAATTTAATGGCGGCATTTGTTGAGATCAGCTAGCTCTGAAAAGATATCAAAATGTAGAAATGATGAAATATAAATACCCATTAGTAAAATTTTAAAACATTCACTAAGGCCACAATTAACTCCAATTTGTGGGAAATGATGGTTGTCTATTACCCCTGAAATTAAAATAAAAATCTATGGATAAAAAGGTTTGTAAAACTAATTCAGCTGGACTAATTAAACAAACTGCTGAGGAAAGGAAGAAGAAATGTCCAAAGTGCATGAGAAGTTCAGTGAATATTAAGTTCAACTTCAATTACCACACAATCACAGCTCTCCAGCTGGCCTGCTTTGCATGTTACTAGATGGTCAGATATTGTTCGTTCATTACTGCTCGTAAGAAGTCAAACCAATCAAACCATCCACCCATTAATTTTCCACCAGTTATCCAGGTTTAGTCTGTAGTGGTGGCAATTTAATCAATAGCCCACACATGATTTTCCCCAGTGATGTCCTCCAGCTCCTCTTAAGGAACCAGATGGGATATGTAATCTCTCCATAGTCTTCTTGGTCTGCTCAAGGGTCTACAGTTGGACGTGTCCAGAATACTTCCACAGTATATGGGGGAAGCATCCTGATTAACTCAACTGGCTGCTTTCAACATATAAGAGCAGTTGTTCCAACTACTACTCCAAGCTCTTTCTTGATATCCAAGTTACTCACCCTGCCCCTAAAGGGTTTTATTTGTTGTACACTACCCAAAGCCAACAGTCACAAGTGAGAGATAAAACCTAAATTGACTGCTAAACTGAGAGCTTCTCTTTGGAGCTCAGCTCCCTCTTCACCACAAATTGGTAGATGCCACACAAATCCTGCTATTGATCTCATCTTACCCTCACCTCAACAGACCCCAATAGTTGTACACTTCTTCACTTGGGGGAGGAACCTTTAAGAAATCATAAACAGAATCACTAATAATACTCACTGTGGACATACTTACAACCAAGTACAGTATGCATACACAGCCGGACCAGACGAAAGGGCCGAATAGATAGGAGCAACGTTTTCAGTACCTTATATTTACACAGCTACCACCACAGGACATGGTTGTATTGACCAAATACACGAAACACATATAGATTTGAGGCAGAATGACCATAACCCCTCCAGTATCTGTGCGAGGGTGAAGGGATGAGGCTGAAAGCTATATTTATCCTCCAGAAACCAAAGTCTGAGAGATAGCCAGAGTCTCCCTCATAGTACATTGGCAAAAACTTACTGAGCAGTGTGATTCTGCTGTATAAATGGGATCCACCATCCCCTTATACCAGTCCATGTTTGCCAGAGTAGACAGCTATAAAAAGAAAAACAACAAAAAAAAGAAAACACTGTATATATTCCTTACCATGACACTCAGGTTGGGTGCCGATCCAGGTCCCATTGGCCAGGCAACTTCTATCTGGTGAACCCTTCAGCATATAGCCAGGCTCACAGCTAAAGCGTACAACACTGCCCACTGTAAATTCTTCTCCCAGACGGATACCATGCACAGGAACGCCTGGATCGCCACACAGCCCGGCAGATTCGCCTGGAAAAGATAAAACATATTGTTTACAATATGAGACTATCACTCATGTGGACAACACACATTAGAAATGTATTAGCCACATGAGGGATGTTTTCATATGAAAACACAATAATAATTAGATTAGAACAGGAACACAGACACCTCCTCACCCAACTGCCATCGAACAGGAGAATAATATTCCCTTCCTCCCTGCAGACTGACTAGCTTCACAAACACATTAAGTTTCATTATATATATTTGTTCAACATGCAGAAAATGTGCAATACGATGTCATTTTTCATTTCACTGACCCAACATATATTTTGCACCTTGCTCTATAATCCCACATCCTCCATTTTAAAACAATCACAAAGCATTTAATGCTGCTCCCTTCCACATTTTACAAGGCACTGGTCAACCTCACTTTAACAGTGTATAGCTGAGAAAGTTGGCAAATCTTTAGAAAAAGGGTTGTGTTTATTGCCCGTTGAGAGAACACTAGCAATCCCCGGAGATATATATGAATGTCATGAATTGTGACATCAAACTGTCAGCGTGCTATTTATTGTTGTGGGTCTGTGTGCGCTAGTGTGTGTGTTTCTGTCATCGTCTATGTTTGTGTCACATCTTTGTGAATGTGCCTGTATTTGTGCCTTCACACATTTGCATTAGTAGACACCCCCATGGCCTTTCTCATGTATTAGGTATACTAGACGTTGTGAAGCAAATTGTTGTAAGGGGATAGAGAGTATGGGGGCTGATGTCTTTATAGTGCTTCATAACCCAGCTGAGGTGTGGGCGTCCCTGTTCCTTACTCTGATATGAGCAGATTAAAGGAGTTTTATGGAGGACACTCTCTTTGCCCTTGAGCTCCATCTTTGGTCCACCTACTTCACTCATTACCTGCTAACAGCTGCCACCCAAACTCTTTATTTGTTGGTCTGATATTATGAGGGCATCGGTGTGACCGGGTGTTGATATTACATCGGAATTAATCAAGTATTACAAGCAAGAAGCCTGACAGAGGATGAGAACAGCACCAGCACAAGCTTTAAAATATTAAAGATCAAATGTGTTGATTTCAATCTTTTCATTTAAGTTTATCTTGAACATTAAGACAGAAAGCTTTTACAAAATAAGGCTATTTTCAGTTTTATCCTTCCGAACCATCCTACAGTCGATCTGGGTGTAGTTTTCCATACCAGAGCAGTGTGGAGGTGAGCCGCTCCACTGGCCGTCCAGCTGGCACATTCGTGTTGTGTTGCCGATGATGGTACGCTGGCCGATGCAGCTGTAGCGGATGACTGAGCCTACTGTCCGACGGTCGCCTGAGATCTGGGCGTAGGGAGGCATGCTGGGGCGGTCACACAGCACCACTGTCCAATCAGAGCAGAGAGATAAGAGAAAGAGACCAATGAACAAGTGAAACTGCTTTAAAGCCCATGATGAGGAACTAATAAATGCACCACATACTTATTATATTGCCTTGTATTAGGAAAACTATAGAGTGTAATAATGTTGGGGGACATTAGATTTGTGTTTGTTAGCACTACATTTCACAGTATCAGACAAATCAGTTAAGAGACTTAATTCCATCAGAATGCTTCATAACTATCACACTGAGCCTGTTTTGATTATAAACGCAAGATTTCTTATTCTGAGTAGAGATAAACCCAGTAGGGCTCAAATAGGTTGGTAAGTAAATTGATTAGTGGTTAAAAACAGTTTTGTTTTATATAAATGTATCATTTCAGTCAGTTTGTAAGGAAAATGCAAAACGTTTGCTGTTTCCTGCTCCTGGCAATTTTCCACCTTAATTTGTTGTATCTGGACTTTTGGTTGAAAAAAAGTTATTTGAAGAGTAAGGGATACTGTGCATTTTCCACTATTTTCTGACTTTTCATATACCAAATAGATTGATTTATTGTAAAAATAAGCCACTAAGGACTAATGCTTACATTAGTTAGTAATTCGTATTAAACAGCTTATGCTGTTTGGTTACAATGATTTGGCACAAAAATTCTGCTCAACATAAAAGCTAAAATAGAAGGACAAAATCTGATTTCTGTTTTATGGAAATCAGTTTAAACTGTCCTCTTTTTCAGTATATACAAAAATGATTCATGCTGCAGCACAACCAACCCCTGAGGTACTCACACAGGCACTTGGGCAGGGAGCGATCCCAGGTACCGTCCCCCTGACAGGAGATGGAGCTGGTGCCCAGCAGGTAGTAGCCTGGGTTGCAGCGGTAGGACACAGTGGTCTGGAAGCTGTAGCGATGCGGCCCGCTGGGCAGAACCTGCCTGATGCTGTTCTCTACATGGCCTGGTTCTGTACAGTTCACAACTGGAGAAAGTGACGCAGAGGAGGGAGGAGAGTAAAGGAGCCAGAGAAGAAGACATCTTGATGGTCAATTTTATTTATTATTATATTACTATCCTGGAAATCTGTAATGATTATATGTAAACTGGTACAGGGAGTTGTTTTGTCTTATTACAATAATATACCATTTATGATATAGATATATGACTCCCTCACACATACAGGGAACATGCCCATTTTATAGGCAAGTTTTGTTTTGCTTTTCTGCTTTTATGCCCTCTGTCCATTCCCTTCCTCATCTACTACTTCCACCCATCCGCCATCCACCCATCCATCCACCCCAATCCAAATGAAGTAGGAGGCACACTCCGGAAATAAACATTTGCTTCATTAGAGCCAGTCTCCTGCTGGCCGCCATGGTGCAGAGATGGTGATGGATGGGGAGCTCACAGGAGAAGAGGCACCATGTCAGTTTAGCACCAGATGGAGAGAGTTAGGGAAGGGGAGAATGAGGGATGAGTGAGGAGCGAAGGACAGCGAGGGGGGTGCTGTACAGAGCTAGAGAGGAAGAGACCCTGATGGTGCAGAATATATTAAAATTCATGACAGAATGTCAGGCTACGATTGCTACCAGCACCGATTCATCTTGAGTGTCTCAGATACAAGACAAAACCTTACACTGCCTCAACAAAGTCAGAGTACACTGAGGAACAGTTGCTGTCTAGTCTTTACTGTGAACCACAACTAGATGTGTACAATGATGCCAAAGCTCTAATGGCTTCTGAAACACTGTCTGGGAGTGCCCACGCAGCCATTATGCCCCAGTTTGCCTTGCCAGTCGCTCCCCATGAGTGTGCCTTTGCTACAGCCAAAATGAACCCATTGTATGCTAATGTACCTAAAAGCCCGCTCATTTTCATGCTCCCAAGCTGGCCAGCACAGCTAAATCACCCCCAAAATACCTATTATAATGTATTCCTACCAGTCGAGTGCTGACCCATGGTGCCATCATTTATAACTTACCGCATAATAACACTACAAAGTGTATTTGAAGCAGTGGAGCTGCTACAGCACGAGACTTTCCAAGCTCGGAAATTCAGCTTTGAAAAAAAATGTGCTCGGGCAACGCAGGCTCAAAGGCGATCCAACAGTCATCTAAAACGACTGGCCTCCTGGTAAATTTTTGTGTGTGGCCCAGTGGGAAGCGAGAGAGGAAGCGAAAAGGATGAAAAGAAAAGAAGAATAAAAGTACGAGGGGAAGAAGGGCTGAAGTAATTCATCTCTGTTCCGCTCAGAAGTGGGGACCCCGGTCACCCTCTCCTCCTCTTGGCCACCTGCCAAGTAACAGCTCTGTAAGTGGTGTGTCAGAATGTGTTTTTTTTTCTCTGTCCTGCGTCTCTTGCCTTTTATTGCTGAAAGACAAATAAACACGAACGAGCCATCCAAAGAAGGCGGTGTTGTGGCTCTGTTACTTTGACTCAAATTGGTGGTGATTAGAGAGGGATAGGAAACTGGCTGGGCCGGCAGTGATCTCCTGCTCCCTGCATTATTGATGGAGCCTACAGACTCCTGTAGTTAAAATCTGGAACTTCGAAATCATTACCTTTGTCTGACTGACTCCTGTGCCACCCTCACCTTTTTTTTCCTGCCTTCTATATCTATCCGCTGCTTTCTCTCCCTGTGACGGAAAAGCTGATGGTTTGGCTTAGCTAAGGCTAAGGTGAGATGGATGAAGCGGATGTCATCCCAGCACTTATACTTTCCATCTCAGGGGAGGCAGTGCACGGCAGACAGGAGAGCACATCTCACCAAATATGTCTCGAATGCTGTAATTAAGGTGGACCTCTAAGCTACTTACGTCTCTACATCAACAGTGAGGATAATGTGTCATCAAAACAAACGCTTATACACGCACGCACGCACACACACACACACACACACACACACACACACACACACACACACACACACACACACACACACAATGTCTCATACAAAATGCAACTCAGAATCAGCATCTGCACGGAAACAAGGCCAATGCTAATATGATGTCACTACTAGAGCGGAGAAATTGAAGGCGTATGTCTGGGAGAAATTCTCGCCTGCTTATGCATGCAGCCGCCAAATGCACTTCTCTTTTTTTAACAACTAAGGAAGGATTCCTGGGAGACGTGTAACCTCCTCATCCCTTCATAAATGTCTAAAAAAGGCCAAATCCTTTCTCTCCTCATTTAAAACAAACTCATAAGTCAGTCCGTCACTGCTTCTGTCACTGCCTTGTCACAGTCAGGGCCCGACCTTGCGAGCGCCCTTTCTATGCCTGTCACAAAGCCCTCCGTTAGCGGGGACTTAGAGACAGACGTGGGTACCGAGATACATCGCTTGTCGCAAAAACACTGCCAAATTAAAAGTCCTTGCCTCGCTTATTCAAAGCAGAGCAGGGTACTTTTTATTCTGAGCAAAAGCCGGGTACGGGTCTCCAAAGGGTGCTGTCTTTCATACAAGCTCAAGGACCCTGTGATTGTTTTTGGCTGTCTTTGCATGGTTATTAACCAAGTTTGTTTCCCTGACAGACAGGTGAGCCTTAGGGTGTATCAGAGGTAGCAGGGAAGAGGAAATAACATCAAATGTAAATACTATCCGGAACCTCCATGGACCATGAGTTTGGGACCGTGATAATTAAATAATCCAAGCTTCTCTTTGGTTTTTCATTTCAATTTCCCCTAATATGCGTCGTTTAAACTCTTCCTCCCTCTGGGTGTCTCTGTGCTTCATCTCCGCTCTCTCTGTGATTGGGGTCATGTCTGGTCACAGAAGATATGACCTTGCACAATACAATAGGTAATTTAATACCTACCCGCACAAATGGATGAAAAGAGAAAAAGAGGACCACACCCCTACAATGTCAGCGGCTTATTTAACTTTCAAATTATTGCACAGCATGATACACACAAACAGGAGAACTGCTACGCTACGACTTTGCTTACATTGCTTATGTAGCTGTGCTGCAATCATATGCACAGAAAATGATTTGATAAACTGGGAGCAATTTGTTCATTCACATGACAATAGTACAACTTGGTCTGAAATTGCTTTTTAAAAATAATTTACTGCTTACTGGAACCAATGAAAGGCAGGATCAGGCACATATCTCTGCTAGTTCTTTGCATTTATCCTCCCATTCATTGGTAAGCAAGAGGTTCTCCAAAGAAAACATAGACGCATTATCTGACAAGCTAACTTCTACCTGACACTTACTTTTACACCTGGGAAGGGCGTTGCTCCACTGCCCGTTGGCCTGGCAGGCAGATTTTACAGCCCCCTGCAGAACATATCCGGTATTGCAGACAAATCGCACAACATCATTTAAGTTGAACTGGGTTCCTTGGGTCATACCGAAGGTAGGGTTGCCAGGATGACCACATGTTATAGCTGGGAAAGCCAAGGAAGAAGAAAATCATGTTTACACATATGCAGAGCAGTTTAATTAAATCTGAAGGTTTAATATCAAACACCTGAATATTGCAAAACATTGTTGTCACAACAACAAGCTTTGTTGTACGGACACAACAGTGAATGCTGATTCAAAAACCAAAGGCCCTGCTGAAGAGGCACTGGTGGCATGTCTCTAATTTTGTAATTTTGTCTTTGAAAATGAGCAGTATTATAGTAGAATACATTGTATTATTTTGAAATAATTGCCCCATCTTTGAAAACGTCATGGCAAAACACAAGAGGCAACGTGGTTTTTTACAGTGTATTTTATGCAGGAGCTTGTGCTGCAGCGCTCGGTAAAAATGTTCAATAACAGGAATTAATTGGTGATCAGTACCAGAAGGCCTGGGTCTAATCACGCTAAATTGGTAGTCGTTATTGGCCCTAACTAGCCTGATAAGAGCATCCCTAGGCAATATATGTCTGCACTTATTACAAATCATTGAGCAGCAACTCAATTAATCTGAGAAAAAGGAAACTTTACTGTTCTTAGATTTCAGAGTTCTTTTGTTGGCTAGCTGTCTTACCAGCCTTCCTAGTAGAACAGGTTAGTCTGAAGCCCTACTCTCTTCATCTTAACAGCACAGAAGTCTTTAGATAAACACTATACGACCTATAACTTTACTTATAACTAACTGTTCTCTGTGATCACTTACGGACACAGACGGGACTGCGTCCTGACCAGCGGTGATCCTGTTCACAGATTCGCACTGACACCCCGATGAGACGAAATCCTGGGTTACACTGATATACGACGCTACCTCGATAGTTATAATTCTCCCCAATGATCTGTCCGTTTACTATAGGCTCCGGGGTGCCACAATGGCCAGCTAAAGATGAATAAAGAAGAAAAGACATATGTGTTATGAATGACTTTAGGAGAAAATTCAAAGACTTTATGAAGTTATAATCATTTTTGGGTGCAGAAGATCTCACCTAGACACTGGACCTGTGTTCCACTCCAAAGCCCATTGGACAAACACTCTCGTACCCGAGAGCCCACCAAGGTATACCCCGTGTTGCAGGAGAAAATGGCAGTGGCTCCGTACACAGTCAGTGTCCCAATCTTGTTACCATTTGGTGGAGTCCCAAGGTCCCCACAGGAGATGACTGAAATGAGAAAACAATGTCATATATTACGAATGACCCATATGTTCAGAATATAATCAAAAATATTCATTTGTTCTGTTTTGAAAAAGGTTTTGTTTGGTTTTCATTCATTTTGTTTGGTTAGAAGATTTCTGCCTGTTTAGTTATATTTTTTCTTAATATCACAGTGGAATAAGATACATTTACATGGTATTATTTTTCTTGCTTGACAAATTACTTTTTTCTGGCAGAGATTTTTCTATTTCTTAGGGGGAATTACTTAATTTAAGATACTGTAGGAAAATCAAACCATGGCATACGCAGTTAACACTTACTCTCGCACACTGGCCGTGGATCTGGGTAGTTCCAGGTGCTGTTGGCCTGGCAGCGAATTACCCTTTGACCCCTGTAGTAATATCCTGGGTCACATATGAGCATCATTATAGCGTCATATTGGTTTTGAGTTCCATAGATCAGCCTCCATCTCCCATGCTCCACAGCAGAATGGCCAATGTCTGGGCAGGTCACAGCTGGAAGATCAGATGACAAACATTGTTAGTTCAAATATCTACTTGAGTTTGGTGCTGTTTTATTGTAGGTATCACTGTGTTTAAAACTTTAAATATGCCCAAGTTAAAGAGTTTGTTCTCTTGATAATACTGCAACTAAATACACTGAGATAAATACTTACGAACACATCTGGGTGGAGCCTCAATGGGGCTCCACCTCCCAGATTCTTGACAGATCACTGAGGTGGTGACAGGCCCGGCAAGCCGAAATCCGGGATTACATTGGTATGTGGCCGTGGCACCTAGAGAAAAGTCCTGGCCCACAATACTGCCATTGACTGGAGGCACTGGCATTCCACAGGACATGACTAGAAGGGAAAGAGGGATGTGACAGGAAGGTAAAGCAAAGAAAATATGGTTGGTTAGAGTGAAAGCACAGGTAGCAAAGTATATTCTCATAACCATCTTTGTATTCAGAGCGCCTAGCTCACAATAGGCTTCCTGTACAAACACACTCCCAGAGCAGGCATTGATTTGCAGTAAACATTAGCTCGGGCTGCCATCTGCACAATGGTAAACAATCGAGTCTAGAGAGAGCACATGAAATTCATGTGGAGATTACACCTGGTGCAGACTTGAACGGACAGTGAATGGCTGCCCTGCTGCTCTCCGTTTTCCCTTCAGCTGATACTGTTAATAAATCTGGTTGGAAACTAGGCTCTGGTAGTAGTCCATGTTTTTGTGACGGAATATAAAAGAAAATTGAGAATTCACTGAAAGTGGAATCAATGAAGATGGTGCAACAGCATCCCAGCCTTCTCAATCTAAAATGACATTTTTTTTAAGCACTTTTAAATTAAAGTAGGTATATATTGCATCAAAAATTATGTCTTCATTCATACTATTCATTTTGTTTTATTTTAAATAACAATACCTTCAAACTTTTATAATGTCAGTCTCAGTCAAAAGTAGATAATTGCTATTGCTGATTCGTTCACTAACAAAAAAGCACAGTGATAAGCAGATAACTGTGACTGTAACCCTAAAGACTGACTTATCAAACAATTCAGCTCAGGTAAACCAAATGTTGTTAATCTGATTCAGTGTTATCATCAAAGCAGTTCTGAGGCATGGTGAATTGAACTTCCTTGAAGCAAGCCTAAGGCTGAGGGGCTGTTTGTGATGGCGCACTTTCAGCTGAAATCACACTTTGATCCAAGGCAAATGGATTCAGTGATTGTTTTTTCTATCAACTCAAATCAGAATGACTGAACTTACAAAACACATTTGCTACAAAAATGTCTTCTTTGACTCAGCATGCTGGCTAGGCTGTGAGTGTTAAAATCCTGTTTTCTTTGCACAGTTTTAAGTTTAATTTCATCACTTTTGAAAAGTGTGACTAAATGCTGAATGAGCTGAGTCACAAGGATACGACATGTACCAAACGTGACGAAATGTAACTTAATTGAAGAAAATTCTTGTTAATTTGCAAAAGCAATGTGAAATGATCCAGCCCCAGCTAATTTTACCAAGCAGATTTGTCTTGCTTAAATTAAGAAAAATAAGACAATCTAGTCTATTACCTATCTGTATCTATGTTTTTCTTAACAACTTCCAACCTTCTTCCACATGACCTGCTGCTGTGATTGGGCCCTCACCTTGGCAAAGTGGCACTGGTGCATTCCACTGGTAGATCCCATGTGCAGTCCGGGTGCATGTGGCACTGCTCTGGCCAATAAGCCGGAAGCCCTGGTCACAGCTGAAACGCAGGGTGCTGCCCAGCTTAGTGCCTGTCAGACTGTGCACTGTGCCATTTACAGGATTGTTTGGAGGGCTGCAGTAGGCCGCTATGAAAAAATAAAATAAATAGGTACAGATATAAATATGCATAGTGATAGAATTGAGTGCAACAAGCATAAAAACCCAATAATGACGCAAGATGAAAGTTGTTGTTGAGGAGGTGAAGGATTAATGTGCCTTCAATAGCATAGAGCTCCAGATCTCTTTTGCATCCGTCTTCTACGCCTGGCGTGGTAAAGGAGGATATGTATTAATACAAGCGCTACAGTGCAATCTCTTTAAGGCAAAGACTGCAGACTAGAGGCAAGGGAAATTGATTAAAGGAAACTAATGTTCTATAAAGCGAAACAAGAGTTTGTCAGCGGCAGCAGAGGAGGATCATAAAAGTGATGAATACATAATAACAGGAACAAAGTATCTGTTTTTGTTTGTTGGCTAAATTGGTGGCTGCAGTAATCATTTATCATCACAAATGTTGCCAGCAACAGGTCCACGGTTCCCAAAGAATGAGGACTCTGAGGCCTAAATTACATTTTGCACATGTCACAATAACAGGGTTTTACAGCACACCTGCTGGAGAATAAAAAAAGAACAGTCATTGTGAAAGCGTTTAAGAAAACACATTGTGAAAGCATTTAAGAAAATATAATAGCCACACTCTGTTGTGATGCAACAGAACATGGCTATTTGACACAGAAAATGGTGCTCGTTGTTGGGAGAGATTAGGATGGAAGTGGACCATGGACACAAAAAAACGTATTATCCATTACACTTAATCACTGTGACCACTTTATAGTCCTATAAAAATGCAAATTACGACTCAAACCACTCACATGTGGCACTGGCTATGGCCTCTCTTTCAAGTCGGTGGAAGATTTTTAGCACCATGCAATCAGATAAAACTCCCTTACAGAATAAAAACTTGAACACTAAAGCCATGTCAGTGGTGTAATATGTATTCAGCATTAAGAGATGTTGCCGTCTCAAACAAATTGTTCCAATGAGACAGAGTGTGAGACTTTTTAAGTGAGCCGACAGTGGCACTGAAGAGATAAAAACAAACTTTATGTGGAATTTGACACTGATGTTCACTAAGACAGATGATACACAGTAGGTGCACTTCAGGCTTCGGTTATTTTGTGAAGTATTCAAGTTTGTCCTCTCCACAATCATCAAGGGATGCATTCTAATTTAAGTCCCACTTGATGGCTACATTGGTAAGGAATAGAAAGCCAAATCTTTGAATCCAATGATATTTAATAAGCCAACTGAGCTACTGTATGTTTCTTGGCAAGGTTTTTTTCCTCTCAGTCACTGTGACTGGCGACTCCTGAGTGCAATTCTTCACTTTTATCTGTATCTAACTCATTTGCCACTCTTTCTGTGTTCCTCGCTCCTCTGCCTGATATAGTATACAGCTTGTCTTACTGCAATCAGCCCTGCAGCTCAGAGGAATCAGATCTACATTGGCAGGTGACTGGATTCGAATAGATAATAGAGAGGAGGAGAAAGAGGGAGGAGGGGGGGGACAGTGATACAGAGAAGGGGAGGGACATATAAGCATGAGGAATCATGTCTATATTAGGTGATAAGCGTAATGGATGGCTAAGGATGGAGAGAAAGAAGAGGAAACTGAGATGGGGAGCTGCTAGAGGAGATGTCTGCAAGTTGGTGATGGAAGACCGGCTCATAGAGACGAAGGATGAATTGATGAAGAACACAGCAGAATACATTGAATCTGCCTGCGCCATCTGTTTCTTCCTCCCCACCAAGGTACTACAGAAGGCAACTCCATATTGACCATGGCAACTTGTGGGTTCTCAGCCCTCTCTTAGTCCTTCTGTCACTTTGCCTGCTATGGCAAGATCCATCACGGCTAAGAAAAAAAATAAAGTAAAAGAGGCAAGAGAAAAGAAGGGGCAGAGAAACGACAGAACATCCGGTTGGGGAGACGGAGAGCACCGCTGAGAGGAGGAGAGAGACGATTAGTCAATCTGGCTGAGTGGTGTTGATACAGAACGGAGGGAGCCTTTTAAATATTTACACAGTCATAATTCACAGCGAGTTATGCAGGTGTCGTATACCAACAGATCCTTCATGGGAGCAGGACAAAACAGAAGAATAATAAGCAATGCAAGAAACAGCGTTTACTAATTCCCAGGCCTGTGCTGCACAGCAAGGAGCGCCGCAGAAGCCTGCCGCCCCCGTTAGGTTGTCATGGAGATGGGTCATATTTCTAGCTATTTCAGCTGCAGTTGGCAGCCCAAATCTTGGTCTTGTTGACACAGTAAACCAAAAGAACCTCTTCTTCAAGTAAATCAATTCCAGATGGACCACTGTAATCACGCTTCATATGTAAAAAAAAAAAAAAAAAAAAGCCTGTCACATCTTGACGCACCTGAGTAGCGTATGCGAAAGCCTTTGTGGCTGGTGGTGTGATCAAAGGACCAGTGCAGGAAGACTTTGTTACTGGAGCTGGTGATGCTCAGTGGGTTGGAATAGTTACCACTGAGGGTAATCAGGAGAGGGCTCTGTCTTGATGGGCCTGGGTAAAGAGAGAGAGAGAGAGAAAGAGAGAGAGAGAGAGAGAGAGAGAGAGAGAGAGAGAGAGAGAGAGAGAGAGAGAAAAGACTATTATTAAGAAGAATCCATCTTTGAAAGCCTCATAACTTTGTGCAAAAGAATGAGTGCGCCAATACTTTTATGTGAACCGCCACTAGCACCACTGGGCCCTCAAAATAATGCCTCATATCTCTATCATCTACACACTTAATGAATGTAAATTGATAAAACAGAGAATATAATTTATAAGCATTTCCCATTTCCCACAGATTGATCTTTTTAAGTCTGAATTTTGAAATGAATATCATTTTGCCTACTGATGGCTTTTATGCATTTTGTTACACTTGTGGTAAATTCAAAATTAGTTCAGCTACTAATTAAAATACAAAAAAGATTTCTTTCCATTATTGGCTTGGCAGCCCCAAGGTTAGGAAATGTCTGTTCCCCTCCACTCAGTAGCAGATAAAAAGTACAAATCAGGAACACTAGTGTACATGACCGCCATTTTCTCAGAGCAGCCTGGCAGAGTTGCTGACTGTGTCTCTAATCAAATGCAAATGTAACAGGGCAGATGTAGATGTTCTGTCACCATGAAAGGGAGCCTGTGTGTGACTTTCTGTTAGTAGAAGCAGAGAGATTTGTTAGGGACGGTAAATTCAGCTGTCTGACTCATTTTAGCCTTTAATTGTGGATATTTGTGAAATTTAGTCTTTGGTCAAGGAAGTGTGGAGGGAGGGGAAATAGGGTCCCATAGGGACGTAGGGTCAATAGATCACTGAATAGTACACATAGTGGTATCTGAGGATTTAACAGGATGCTCTGTTAAACTGTTTTCGATAAATAAAAGGTCAAAATAATAAAGACATATTACTGTATGTGACCACTGGTATACATATGTTCAGTGACAGTGACTCACCATCAAAGATCTCCAGCTCATCAAACTGACGGCTGGTCTGGAAGTGTTCTATAGTGAAGGTGATGTTGTAGCCAGGTTCCACTTTGACCACCCAGGAGCAGGACTCAAAATGGGGAAAACCGTTGCCTGGTGACTGGCTCATGATGACGCCTGTGGAAGCTGTTAGTACCTCATTCATTGGACAAGTCACTGTTGAGAGAAATAAAAAGCAGAGACAAAATCATTTCATTAATTTTAGTTGTAGGTTTATGCATTGTTGTGCTGTGTCATTTCATAATCGCACACATCTTCTAATGGTTCATTCTTTTTAGTGAATTTAATTTACCTTGAAGCACAAATTGGATTGGTTAGGATCCATATTGTTGTTTGAGGGCAACTCAATGTGACTTAAAGCATAGCTGGGATAATTGTCATTCTGGTCCTGATGCTGTCGCAGAAAACAAAGCTGTCCATGGAGTTGGTCCAAAAATCAGCTAATATATAGTATTACTGACTTGCCATGAGCATATTCCCTCCTCTTTGACCTACAGCATGTGACATATGTGATGCTAACTTGCCGGCTAAATCTGCCTGGAAGCCCCATGCACGTCTGGTCTGCACGTCTCTCACCCACCCCGCCCCTGCCATTGGTATTCTTGTGGGACATCTCCATGACATCCTTTGACATTTTCTAGTGGCTTCGTCTGTATTATCAGACGTTACACAGCATTCCTGTCGGTTGCGTTTTGTTGCAAAGCTGTGAAGCCAGCCTCTTAATCTGCCAGAGCTGTCTGCATACACAGTGGAACCCCAAAAAACAAGCTACAACATGAAAGGACACCAATGCTTCAATGACAACACAATGCAGCTGTTACATTGTTTTTTTTCTCCTCCTATCACTTTTGCTACTCACCTAATGGGGCTGAGTACTGAAGAGGTAGAGTGTGAAATAACTCCACTGCAGAGAAAGATATACATTTGTTTTTCTTGTTTGTTTGTGATTGCTTTTTGTAGCTTTGATACCATAAACCTACATAAGGTAAAGGTTCTCTCTTGTGAAATTAACTGCTTCCTATTGTACATCAGTGCTTTCTGCATTGCAAAAAATCTCAAGGGCCTTCTTTGGCATGCATAATAGTTTTAACTGTTTTAACACTGAAGCCCTTCTGGAACTCAACCTAACAGCTTGTTAAGAGCTTCACAATTAACAAATTTCAGACTCACAGCACAAACAAATAGATTTACCTTGTTAAACACCAGCCAGAGGCTTTACTTACAATCACAGCAGAAAGCAAGAAAGAACACCGTAAGATAAGTAAATGTGATTAAAAACCACTTCAGAAAGCATGTGACCTGGTACTTTTCGCATGCGCATACATTTCGTGTGCGAGTGTGTGTGTCAACAAAGTGTGGCAGAAAATGTAGCTGGGGGTGTAAATGCCCCTGTTGTGTGCTGCAATTTGAATACCGGAGCCTGTTCTGCCTCAGGGTAAGGCAGCAGTTGGCACCTGCAGGTCCTTCATTACAGTGGCGAAATACTGAACGCTCTGAATCCCATTCTAGCAGTGCCTCCTTTGTGGGACAATGTGTGTGTGTGTGTGTGTGGTATATACACTTGTTTTTGTGTACGTGGATGGGCCGTGTGTCTTTTGGCTTGTACCACCTCCTCTGCGTGTTCGTAGGGAGAAGGAATTATCAAATCCACAGGAAAAACAAAATGATGGCAGACAGCCTGGGTTAAGCAGCATTTGAAAATAATTCTTCGCATTTCTTTTACCGTGCTTGGCAGGTCAACCAGGTGGGGTTTATTGCCTCAGGAAATCTCAGATAATGTCAGGTAAGCTGTCACTCACAGAAAGGCATGTTAAAATGAGGGATGTACCTGTCAAACACTTTTTGCCATTCATTGTTTTGGCATTAGCTGCAAATCCCAACCAAATGTTGCCAAAAGGACAAAACAAACACTACATGTCTGCAAATGTTTTTTACAATAAACTGTATTTTGTGATGCTTTTTATGTGTTTATTAAATAGTTGAGATGACAGGCAATGAGGGGATTGACATGTAACAAAAGTCCCCAGCTGGAATCAAACTCATAGGACACCAGGGTGCCCCAAGAAACAGTAGTTGTTACTCGGTAATATATCACACTTGTATATACAGTAAGGTGAAGTAGTGGTATAATATAGCTATTGCACAAACTCAAAACATTAAGGGAACATTTTCGCAAATGGTTATGGGGGTTACATTGCTGTTTGAGAACAACATCTCAGAGAACCCAATTTCTACATACGACAATAATAGTACCATCATGCTGCATATGAAGTGTAAATTTAAGTGAAAAGAACTTTTGCCATCTAACTTGTGAAGTGACAGTCATCTATTCTCATCCCAAATTCTAAGAAGACAGTCACCAAGTCGGAGAAATCATTTACAACCTCAAGCACCTCAGTGGATGCGAGTCAAAAGGCTTAAATCCATCACTGATAGTGAAACTGATTGCACCTGGAAGGAGCATATAAAATCTACCAGTGAAGTTCATTAAACAATCAATTCTCTGAGGATGAGATGTGTGCTGTCAGTGACCTTTCAGAAAGCTCCAACGTGTCTTCAAAACTGCTTTCAGCTAGTCTTGGAACTGATGGAAAGAGACAGGCAGGGGCTCTTATCTATAGGCTGCTACTTATTAAACTAATCCACTTTGAAATGAAGCATCACTCTGTTTGGCTGTAAACAAAAGGGTATTAGGGGACAAATCTGACAGCTGGGAAAAAAGCAGCTTCAACACACAAGGTGAGATCAGCGCTGATAGGGCTCAAAATGAAATTTCACTTTAATGAGACAAGGAATGGAATAAACTGGTAGCAGGAATGGCAATCTGCAAGACATCCCTTCTGTTTTTGTATAAATCGTTCATGGTATGCAACAGCTTCCAAATAAAGAAAATGCAGTGGAGGGCTTCGGTGCAGACAAGCACAGATGCACACACATCTGCATCCCCACACACACACACACACACACACACACACACACACACACACACACACACACACACACACATTTCTGCACTCCAGTATCCAAGTATGGGCGCACATGTGCATACATCCACAATATATCACACTTGTAGTGCTACAGCGCTGTTCAGATGCCTTCACTTGTGTTGGTATTTAATTAGCATAAGCTGAGGAGCGATAACAAGCTGATTGAAGGGGATGGGCCACAACATAAGCATTAGTGTGGATCAGGACCTAACAACTCTGAGACGTCAACGATGACAATGAAGATGTGAAAAAGGGGCAGCTGTAATCCATTCTGTGGGGCAAAAAAAATTATCTAGGGAACAAAAAAAAGGAGATACATGTAAGGGCGAAAGGAGGCGAAGGGACCGAGTGGGATGAAGAAAGCTAGCTAGCTGGGAATCTAATGTGATGGGTGATTATGCAGGTTTTAACCAGAAATCTGTCTGGGGGATAAACACAGGGATTTGGGATCATCAGAGCTCATTGTGTTGCATTAATGAATTCAAGCAACACTTTGTACTGATGCTGTTGCTTTGTGTGTGTGTGATGTTGGAACTCCCTGTGGTCTCAGCAGACAGGAGATGTAGTTAAGGGCTGTGGGTTCAGTACGACCCAGTTTAATCAAATAGCAGGCAAATCAAATACTGTACAAACCAACTGGTTGCTCCAATGGCATTAAATACGAGAAAACCAATTTGCCATCATGACTGGCAATGATCATCTGGATTCAATTAAAAAAAAAGTGTCTGTCTTTTCTCTACTGGCCTGTGTGTCAGTGTTGGAAGAAAGGGAAAGGCAGACAGGGAGTGACAGATCTGGGTATAGACAGACACCTGTGTGTGACAATACATTGCACTTTATTGTTGTGGTTTGAACCAGCCTCAGAGAGGGCCAAAAAAAAAAGAGAATGAGGAATAAAGGGTACATGTGTTACGTAAGAACAGAAGTCTGACGCTAGAGAGTCAGGGGAGAGAAGTGGCAAGTGAGGGAGGAGGGAGTGCAGACGGAGGGAATGCAGAGGATGAGAGAGGATATTGGCGCCGAGGGGCAAGCAACACTGCAGAACCGGCTGTAGGCTCCAGTGCTGCTCTCTGGAAGACTATCACAATGACAACATCCACTTCTGTGTAACCCAGACACATGCTAGACCAGTGTGCATGTTTGTATAGTATGTGTACCAAAGAGTGTGTGTGTATGTGTGTGTGTGTGTGTGTGTGCGTTGGGGGCAGCTAGACGTGCAGGGAGGGTTGTGCTTGTCAGAGCTAGAAGTGGTGATTTGATAGGTGCAGCTGCAGCCAGCATGTCCCCTGCATTTCAATGAGCTGTGCACTTGGTCTGTTCACTGCCCTCCAACTACGTCTCTCCCTGTCTCTCTTTCTCGCCTCGCTTTTTAACTCCTGTCCTACTCTCACTTACTTGCCCTGCTCATTTAGCAGTCTCTCCATCTTTGCCAGACAGATTTTCCCTTTTTCCTTAAGAATCGTGCTCATTCAGAATGATCTCAGACTGTTCTCTTCCCATACGTTATTATGCAACACCCTCCATCCAGCCTTCTCCTCTTCCTTCACACTAGTATCAGTTTGTTGTCTTACTTTCCTTCTCTACTCTGAACTTCCTCACACTCCACTCTTGCCTCCTTCAGCTTCTCTAATCTGTGGCTCTCCTCTCCATCTCCCTGGTCTGTGACTATGCAGGTTAAGTGGCAGCTTGCAGGAAGGGTATGATGGAACTGTTTGTCCCCAGTATAATGTGTCTCAGCATACGGGGAGCAATTAACGAGCCACACAATGAGTACAGGTTCACATCTGAGATACTGCAAGTAAATGCATTCAACTGTCACTGACTGTCACTTAAATTTTAACACAAATTTGTTTAGCTTAGCAAGGAAAAGCTGTGCGCAAAGCATGACATTTTCAAAATTCAAAAACAAGGCAATGTCAATGGATGGTTTCACTTGCACGTCTTAGCTGCAGATGGCTAAAGGTACAGTGAAGGGTCAGAAGGCAAAAGCCAGGACTTAATTGAGGGGAAAATAAACACATAAAGGATTTCCGGATTTCCTTTTCTTTGCTCACTTGAATCTTGACACTTGAGTCTCCTCTGTTCTGCCTCTCACTGGGTGTCCTGGGTACTTTGTTCCATGTCTTCATTATTAGGCTATACATAGCTCCTCTTCCCCTTTCATTGCCCTCTTTTTTCTGCCAAACTCTTTTATCTTCCTTCTTTTTCACCTCATGCTGAGAGCATTAGTTTTCTTTCGTATTTAGAACGCAAAATTAATTGCATCTATCAAATTTATCCCACATCCACCACATAACCCTCAAACAGACTAAGACACACGTTGACAAAGCAAGACAGAGGAGAGGAGAATCAAGATGATTTTAAAAAGAGAATGAAAGATAAATGCTTTTATGATATTTTAAAGCTAAGAGAAACAGAGGAACCCCTCTGTGCACCCAGTCTCTTGCCCAGAGGAAATGTATCGCACACAACATACAGTATTATGATAATGCGGTGTGTTGGGAACACTGCACTCATTGATTCCTCTGGGAGGACAATATCTCGGCATGTCGAGAGCACTACAGCAGCCACCCTCAGTCTCATGGGAGCCAAGTATCATCCACAGAGATGGAAAGTGCTACCAAGCTGATATGTGGCTGCTTCTCTGTGACTACAGGCAGAAAGAGCACCCATGGGATCCAGAAATAAGTCAAAACTTGAACTAGTGCATGAGTCTATGATTAGAGCAAAATGATATTGGCTACCTATAACCCTGCTAAAAATAAAGTCACAGAGAAACCCTTTGGCAGAGGAATGTGTCACCTGTGTTGTGATTTATTTAGGAAAGAATAAGTACTTTAGAAAAGAAGTAGCTACTCTTTCTGTACATGTACAGGACTTTAACATCTTTTAGTAGCATTCGACAGCCTCCCCTATTATTTCTCTGCTGGTGCACTGTGTTGCCAGTCTGTGAAAAGTCATCTGTGTTTGCTATTTGATCAGCTGAAATTTATTTCCAAGACAGATGTTCTAGCCATAGACATTTAAAGTTTCCAAGCATGCACTCACCATCACATGAGGGAGGAGGCCCCTCGAACTCCAAGTGTGTCCCCAACCGGCAGGTCAGGATGCTGTTTCCACTTAACTGGTAGCCTGCAAGGCATCGGTAGCGCACTATATCACCTGAACAAAGACAGAGATGGAGGAGGGAGAGGTACAGTCAAAGACAGATCAGACATGGCGGCAACAATCCATATCATTGGTACAAGCCAAAATGTTCATACACACTTATCAGTGCTTCTTAGCAATGATTGAGTTATCATCATCCATTGTGTTTCTTAGTGGAACACACAGTGGTGAAAAAGTTAACAGTGGAAAGAAGTACTGTAATGAATACCCACTGGGCATCCCACAGATGAAATACTATGTCAGTGTTGCTGCCTTTGTGTATCTGAATAATAACAAGTCAAGGAGGTATGCAAATAAACAGATAAGGAGAAATAATCTCCATTGTCTTCTACAGTGGAGAAAGAGAGCACCTGCCTCAAATCCCTCTGGCTTTCTGACAATTTTGTCATAATTGTTCATTTATACTGATGCCTCAAACTCCTTTATGTAGTTTGAGGTGAGTCTGCATTCCGCACCATTGCCTTATGGGATGTGTAGTCAATATCAGACTCTGTATCCCTGTGGAAATGTAAAATGCTAAAGCCTGAGGGTGAACTGACAGTGGAGGTAACTCTTTATGAATGCCACAATTCAGGATTTCACTAACGTCTAATACAAACATTCAGCAATGCCTTGATAGCGGTGTTTGTTTGTGTCTGTATGTGTATGGATGTGCCTGTTTGTGACAGCATTTCCCACCTACCAATTTTAAACTCTTTGCTTGCCATTAGGATCTCTGCATTAGGAATGATGGGGGGTGGCAGGCAGAACTGCAGTCGGTATGCTTTATCGAGAGGATCAAAGAAAAGAAAGGAGTCAAACACAGAATGTGTGAAATATTTGGTAGAAATAAGGATCAAGTAAGAAGAGTAATTTACATACCTTGATAGCTAATACGAAACAGTCCACCCTTCTCTGTGTTACTACGGAAACGTATCAGCACCTGATTGGATGTACTACTGGGCGGGTCATTGGGCTCCCCATCAGTGAACACTCCCAGTTTCCTGGCTGTCTCCTGTGGTCCATCCCTAAAGAGAAAAAAGGTCATAAGTCAACTATTACTTCAAATATAACAATACACTGGGGTAAAGTGATGATAATTAACAGTGGGGATTTTCTGTCAGCAGCCTGTGCTCAAATGCTCACTCGGTCTCCAACCGTAAAAGCACCTCAAGGCTCTGTGACGCATATCTGTGAGAAAACCAAACAAAGCCACATGCCAGATTATTGTCAAGCAGCTTCCAGCAGCAGAATATAACCAAGCTGCTCAATTCATCATACCCAAAGCAATTACTCTGGGCTGCTCCGGGTGATTATGTTGAAATAAGGTAAAAATTACAGATAAGCGCGGAATGACAGGTCTGGATTGCGCTGTTTCTGCTAACTGCCATCAAATGGGAGTGTCTCTGGAAGCGGTGGCCCAGCCTTGGCAGTCCCCTGGCGTGGGCATGGCCGATTAAGCCAGCTCCCAGATTCCTGCCACAACCATTCAGCTTAAAAACCATCTGTCTTTGGCTGTCAGACTGGGCATGGGAGATTACAAGCAGCTCTGGAAACGGCTGGCTAGGGACTGCTGCCTGACAGCACTCTGGCCAAGCCGCCATTACGGGGCCCATTTCCTTGGCTCAGTAGTTCAGTGGATAGATACACAGAGGTGGAAACTGGAAACTGGGGAACATGATAGTCCCCATCTTGGCTCTGTATGAGCTTGCTGGGAAAGATCAACACAGTGGGGGCCGTTTACAGAAGAGCAACAATACGATAGAAAGTGGACAGTTTGGCTCACTAAATCCACATTGCCTTAGCGACATAAACTCTAAGCGGACTAAATCTGAATCTTCACACAAATTTCTAAAAGCAGCCCAAACGGTAAAACATAGATGTCACTGCACGCCATGTGGACTTTTCATGTGGTCGTCAAGTTGCCAGGTTGGCTGGCAGTCAGATCTCCGGTCTTACTGAGAGCTGGGACCTTTGGAGCTTGTCTCAGGGAGAGGGGATCAACTGGGACTGGCAACCATCATGTATGCAAAATCCTGTCTTTGGTCACACATATGGCAAGCCCAGCCATGCCTTCTGGAGGTGATGAAAGGAAGCTTTACCCCGCAACACTCAGTAGGGATAAAAGACATACACCTACCACATAAACGTCCTGACACAAACATTAACAGGCAAAACAAGAGCACACACATTTCCATCAACCAAAACCTACTCTCTGTCTCCCTCTCTTTCCTCTCACACACATATTTAAAGAGCAGGAAACCACCTACTGCTCTGATTGGTCCTCCACGGTTGATTGCATTCCTTACATATTAGTGTTTGGTATTTAATACAATTGATTTATACATGAAAAGTCAAAACCCACAGAAGTATTTGTATAGATATCCATGAGCTTGAAAAAAAGAAGTATAACGCGGTGAGGATGTGATTTTGAAAGAATAAAATAATTTGTGTCTCAGGGAGAAGACAAGCTAGGAGGGAATGGTGGAGAAGAAAAGAGCAACAATGACACAAGAAAAGAAAGAGATAAAGCCATAAAGACAGAGAGATTAGCTTTTAATCTGCAAGGTTTTTGCCACTGAAATGGATGACAAAGATAAGAGATACATGTGGTGTGAGGCCATTCTCTACTTGTTAGTTAGAAAACAAGCTGCTGAGCCATATAAAGAGGACAGTAAATGAAAAGAAGGGAGGGGGCAGGCAAAGGAATTAGAGATTAACTATCTGGACTCAGTTTTGCAACAAGTGAAACAGAGGTGGACTTGGGGAAAAAAGCAGAAGGCGTAAAGGTTAAAAAGTAGGAGTGGGTAACAAAGAACTGAAAGAAGGGATTGAAAGAAAAGGCCACGTAGGGGTGGCGATAACAGAAAAATGGAATTGCAAATAAACAAATTAACATGCAAACATTTTAATAATACGTAAGAATGTGAAGTACAGAGTTCAATATTTTGAAAGTACACAGTACTTAAAGTAAACAGTATTTCATGAAGGGATTTCCACACATCTGCAGCCTGTGAAATCAGTAATTTCTTACCAGACGGTGATAAAGTCGTGTGGCCCATGAACCTGAAGCAGGGAGAAGTTGAGTTTGATGCCAAAACCAGGAGCTACGGTGATCAGCCAGGAGCAGTCAGCTGAGCTAGGGTACTCCTCTGGGTAACCTGGCGAGAAGATGGTCCCATTGTCCGATGTGATGTTCCCACCGCAAGGCACTGAGAGAGGGAGGGAGGGGGAAGGGAGAAAGAGAGTATATATATCAGTGGGCCAGGAGTACAACAGGACGGATCCATAATTCAGCTGCAATCTTCGGAAAAAGGGGATTTTGCATCCCCCTCTCTTTCTGCTTCCCTTCTCAGTGTCTCTCTCCCCCTCTCCTTCACTCTTCGTCTAGTGCCCAGGCGCTTGTCTGAGCTAAAGATTAGCCAGTAAAGCCTGTTAGCAAGTAGGGACTTGGATGGAGTGTTTTGCTAAGATAAGGCCTCAACCCTTTCCCACTGGGGGTGAAGAAAGAGAGTGCGAAGATGAGGCAAGGGGTTAGTGTGGACTTTTGAGGTGTGTGTACATGTACAGTATGCGTATGAAGAGTGGATATGCATGGGTACGTAAACTCGTGTGTGTCTAAGTGACGGGAAAGGTTAAAACGTCATGTTGAAAACTATTACCTCACAGGTCCACACATGCCTGATATCCTGAGGTTACAAAATACAGTAACACTCATGCACACAAATACAAGCTAACCCTGCAACCAGCCTCAAATCTTCATGCATAGAAATTGCAACTATATTTCAAACATTCCTCAAGAACTCAGGAGGTTCTAACCAACTTAACGATTACGAAGCTTAACATTCCCGCTGGTGCCCTTAGAGAAACCCCATATTCACTGTGGTGGAGCAGGGAAAATCAGGAAGGAGTGGTAATCGCAGCAGTGCAGGCATCTCAAGCAACTCAGACAGGGTATTCAGCTTAACGGCACACCCTCGGACACCTATGGGTATACGATCATTCCCAAAGCAGACATTGCATGTTTTATCCCTCTGTTTCTCTATCAGGTTATGTATATGTTCATGTTATACAGCTGCCTGCTTCACCCCTGTGGCTAATAGGCCACTCTGCTGCTGGCTCACCTGTTAAATGAGCTATCGATCAGATGGTTTGATTAAACCCTGGACACTCCATGGATTTGCACCTCTGGCTCACGGCGAGCTACTTAAACATGATGTGTAAAGAGTATGTTGTTGCTTGAAGGGTTGGTGAACAGAAGACTTGAATCAGTGATGTCTAATTAAAATACATAGTTAAAAACAAAGATCTAAAAAGGTGTATCATAAAAATGTGGCTAAATCTGGATATTGACAGGCAATTGGTGACAGTTTTAGAACTATTTGGTCAATTTTGCGACCCCTAATGGTTTTATCACTGTGAAAAGAAACTGGGTACCAATCAACTGACTAATCTAAAAATTAGGGTGAAAAATAAGAAATGTTGTCATTTGCAGTAACTTTAAATGTAATATGACAATAATTCAGTGAAGCAGAAGTGTGTATATATGTGTGTCTGTTCAGGTACATTTATCCCATTAAAACTCATGTATCTCTAATAACATCATCTCCTGCTATATCACTTCCTCTGTAGCCTTAAAGACAATTCAATTACACTCACAGTCAGAAGCATCCGGCTAACTTCTCCTGGTCATTTTAGAAGGCAAATACACAGCACACACATTCACACAAACACACAAAATGTGCACAATTTATGCATAAACAGACACAGGCATGTGCAAACGGTACTGGGATATAGAATACTGCAATATGATGAATATTATATAATCGCTTGTATATAATATGCATATGAGCATGTTCCACACATACACGCATGCAAAATCACACACATGAAATTACCCACAGATACGTATAATTTTCTCGAATAATAATTCAAAAAAAAAAAATAGCTGTGAAAGAACAAACTATCTCCTGTTCCCTCTGCCTTTTCACTCTGTTGCTACTTCTCTCGCTCACATTTATCTACCTGCTCGCCCATTCAAAGTTCCAGTGTCATAGCCATCACCTCCCTCGATAATTTTGCCTGCATCATTGAATAATTGACAGCGAGAGCGTGAGAATGTGGGTCAAGGACAAGGCAAAAGAAAGAGCAACCATTACTTTCTTCTCAGTTTACCCTCTCTTTTACTCATCTTTTATTTGTCTCATTCCTCTTTAGCACAATATTGATTTTCATTGAAGACTACTTTGCTTCATTAATGGGGGATGATAATTCAGTTTAATTGCATTATTCATAATAGATAATCATCATCTCCACAGCCGCACTTTGTACTAAAGATGTAATAGCTCAATATGTTCAAAACAGGAAGTTATCGTGTTAGTTCTTTGGTTCTGCGTTCATTAGGCAGTATAGTTGGCCACTATTTAGTGATCAGATTAATATATATATTAAATTAGCAGATTATTGGGGTATTGATACGACAATTCTCACATCCCTTACCTTCGCAGCGAGGGAAAGGGTGATCCCAATTGCGGGTGGTGCCATGCTCACAAGTGAGGATGGAATGTCCCATTAGCTGATACCCAGGTAGACACTCAAAGGAAATGGACTGGCCCACATTGTAGCCAGCGCCCACCACCACTCCGTAGCGGAAAGGCTCTGGATCAGGACACTCCTGTAACTCATAAGCTGAGGGAGAGAACAATAGACACATCAGTCGATTCAAATCAGTATTCACCTTTCCAATGAAGCTAGAAACTTTTATATAACCACATTTAGTATTATTGCAGTAACATAATTCACCTAAACATTAGGTAGCATGTTAGCATGTTTAAACATGTCACACGACGACCACGGATTTGGCTCAACAAGTGACTGCTCTGCTTCCCTGGAGCATTCTCTGTTTTTATTTTCCACCTTTAATACCCCTTTCCTCATCTTTCTGTTGTTCTTCCTCCTTGTGCTAAACATCCTACTCACTCATCTTTCCTCCTCATTCTCAGACAGGGCTTTCAGAGAGAGAAAAAATGCCAGGGGCAGGTTTGACTTCTGCCGGAGGAGTATGATGCAGTCATCAGAGGTAGTGTAGGTAAATAATTTGTACTTTTTTCCCCCCTTCTGGATACAAAAGCAAAGCAGCCAGTGAGCCTTGAAGAGCCAGGATATAAATATGACTAAAGAAATTGATTTCTATGGATCACAGCTTCCCTTTGTAGGAGATAACTCATGCAAATGCTGCAAAAGGGGGGTATTTGCAAATATAATGCTTGATTTATATGCTAATGTACACATAATTATGTAAATGCACAATGCTACCTTTCGATTTGCCGGCTCGTTTGTTGAAGCACAAAATACAAACTTTGTGTGCCTGTTGCATTTGCAGACAAGGGCAATTTATTCCTTGCAGCCACGCGGATATGCAGTGAGGCCTTTTATTGGCACATGGTGAAGAAATCTTTTAAGTGATCAACACTTTTATATACAGAGATTTATAGATCTGGGGAATTTACTGGCTCTGTCGGCTGATTAGTCAGACACAGTGAGTTCTAGGGCTAATTCAGTAATGTTATGGCTTTACAGGCGTACACCTCACAAGTGACACTAATAGTACATAAGTGAACATGAAGGCACAAAGGTAACACTCAGAGAGATTATTATTTATTTATCATTCTGCTGTTATGAGACATAATCAATCCCTGTGAGTTTCATTCTTATAATGATTATGTGATTGTGTCAGTTTTCTTTTCATTTCCTGCACCTATGCTGAACCACATTTCAGCCACAGAAAAGGTAGTTTTAAGTAGCCATGAAGCACTAACTAATTTGATCAAGCTTTGCAGAAGAAAGTGACTCATAATACTGATACTGGCTCAGTTCTGCAATTAGCAAAATTTAGTCTTGGTGATTATGCTCACTATTATAAATATATATTAACCAAGTCTATTTTTGTCTGAGACAATCCTAAGGCTGATCATTATTTCCTGCTTCAATCTTCTGCATCTTCAACTTGCAGCTTTTTAAGGACACTTTCTCACACATGATCCTGTTTGCTCTCTTACCCTGGTACTCGAATCGGAAACCCGGTTTGTTCTGTGAATGGTCACTATGGAAATATACTGTGGTCTCATGGGAGGTGGTGAGAAGGGAGGATGGAATATCTTGGCCGCTGAATCGGCCGATAACTGCGCTTGTATCAAGGGGCCCATTGCGTATCTCAAGGAAATCATGGTTGGCCTCGGTGGAGAAGTTGAGGAACTGCATGTGGGCTCCTGGGAGAAAAAGAAAAAATAAACCTTGAGAAAAAATGTAAAAGAAATTTAAAAAGGAGATGCCACCCACTTCCCGAAATACAATGTACATTCCAACCGTAGATGTTGTATAATTAAAGGTTCTTGAGTCTGGAAATGCCAAATGCATGCTGCAAGAACATCTTCACGTTTCTCACCGTAACCAACTGGCAGGTAGACTCTCCAGGTGCAGTCACTGTTGCTAGGGTAGTTGCCAGGGAAACCAGGACTGAGAATCATGCCCTCCATCTCCTCCCGGATTCCACCACATTGAGCTGGCAGAGGGCAGACAAAGCATTTCATTAGCATCTGCAAACAGTTATTCACCCAGATTAAAATAACATTACAAACATGCTCCGAAACAGTTCTATGTTTAGTAGTAAATCTGACCACCATCTCATCAAACGGGAAACTTTTCCACCAGATTTCCACTTTGGAGGAGGTGGAACTTTAAGGAGGGGCTCAACATTTCTGATTGGTTGAGCACTGGCAAGATTTAATTTCCACCATTTTTAATCTTGTATTCTTTTATCTCACAATTAAGGAACTCTGGAACTTTTTTCTTTCTACTTAAGATGTCAAAGTACCATATACTGCACCTTTTGCTGCTCTTCATCCTTCATCTTAAACCACTGACACATACATGTTTTATTGACTGAAATCTAGGACTAAGAGCTAGAAAAGAGGTGAAATGAGAAAAAAAAGGGTATGGAAAGTGATGAGCTCAAGAAAGATGAAAAGAGCGAGAGATCCTGACACCAAAATTAAAAAGATTAAAGGATGCTGAAACTAATGGTAAAAGAATTAGCTGACTCAAGGAGAAAAAAACAAACAGTGAAGAAGATTAAGAAATAAATGGGACTAACAGCTGACATAAGTCAGCCGAGGGAGAAACCACACAGAGAAACTCAGGGTGCTGTACCATTGTGTGTCTGTAAGGAATAAGCGAGGGGTTAAATGTTATCCTGTAGCAGCACAAAATGCCTGAGGTAATCAGGAAACTGCTGATGCCTGTGAACACGATGAATCTTCCCTCTACATCAACCAATCATGGTGTGAGATGGAACTAATTAAGCAATAGTAGGTTGTTCCAATAAGTGGGACCCGTTTGTCAAGGCACTCTTCCAGGCAGGAAGACTTGAGGTACAAAATGGAGAGTGTAGTTTAATTCAGTGTGTGTGCGCTCAGCTTTCAAGGCAGAAATATCATACTCATTTTAAAAAGGTACATAAGTTCTCATAAACTCAAAACAAAAACTGATGAAATATAACCGTTTTGTTTATATCTTAAATTTTCTTCATTTTCTGATGGATTCAAGAGCTAGGTTATGTCTGTCATATAAACTGTGTGAACTGTGTAACAGTACCAGAAAGCTAAAACATATTTTTTTAGTACATAGTGGTACTGTAGTCCAGTGCTTTTGTTCAAAGGCTTGCACACTTCAAGTTTTAAATTGAGAACTTGGCCACAGATGCTCTGTATTATGTAGGAAGGTATTTTTTTACCTATGCAGAGAGGAGGTGGGTAGTTCCATCGTCTGACAGTTCCAGGCATACAGGTGATATGCGAGTTCCCCTGCAAGGACCATCCATTCACCGATGTGTGCACACACAGACACAAATACAAAAAGTGCAACAAAGATCAGAAGATTAATTAATTTGTTCTTCCCACTGTCACTCATCTGTTGCTCCAGTTATTTGAGCCTGCTGCCTGTCTCCGCATGACTTCATGTGGCGACTAAATGACTAAATCCATCTGAAGTGACAGAGAATTATAGAGACAGGGAGCGTCACTGGCATTTTAAGGTGATCACATTTATTGCTGCACTGCTAAAATAAGCAATACAGCATTTCTCAGAAAGTTCTGGAATTGAGTTTCAAGGCTAACTTGACATCAAGATTAAAAATGAGATAATAACAAAAGAATCTGATGTAAGGACATAATGGACTAACTTAGCTGACCTTTTCTGAAAAATATTTCTACAGTCATAGTCAGAGAAAGCCTGGCACCCATGGTAATATAAGAGTCTGGAGAAGTTTAAAGTAGACACCAAAACAACATGAATATGAACACTTCTGAACTCTTATAATGCACTCTTTTAAATGTTGCACTGATTAAGGACTGCTACTGCAATGGTTGATAATTACTTTACTTATACCTTTATTTCTAATCATATAATTATTAATCAATACGAGTAGGACACAATACAGCACTTGTTCATACAAAAATATGTAGAAAAGCAAGTGCAACACTGGTGCAGTGTGATGCAAAGTGATGTGTGGCTACATGTCTGTGTTTTAACAGTACGACAGTTATATTCGGGTACATTTACATAATTCTCATGGATAATGCAAATACTGTGAGAAAAGCAATATTCTGGTCATTGATATGATTGCAAGTTAACAACATAACTTAAAACTGCTAGCAATAACAGACAATATTATTGAAGTATTTTCTGATTGTCCAGAAAGAAACATATGATTGAAATAATGATCTCAACCCTTTTTTGCTAAAACCTGCTTCTTGTCCTGCTGCTATCAAACCAAAACTCTTTGTCACAGCTATTGGTCTTTAACAATTAAAACATGCAAAGCAAAACCAGCTGAAAAGAAATGAGCGACATGAGCCAAACTTAATATTTCTGGGTGGGAACAGAGTGAACACTGGGGGGAACACTTAGTCCCGGTGGACCTGTACAGTGTTGTGGAGTGGAGAGGGAACTTTCAAATAGAATTTGTTTGAACTACTGCATCCAGTGTGTTGCACAGATGTCACCATCTGTCTCTTGAAGCCCAGATGACTACAGTGGAAGCACAGGAGAACTGTGCAGAATATAGTCAAACTGGGAGGCTGTGAAGAAGTAGGACTTTATAGCCCCTCATCCTATCAATTATAGGCAGCAGAGGGGGGATACCTGTCTGATGCCATCCTGCCTTTGCCTTTATACATATTTCAGCAACTTAATGGGAAAACTGTCATGCATCATAATGTCCAGGGTGGATGACAGAGATGAATCATAACAATCATTCCTTTATATATAAAAACACTGAGCTCAGCACATGCATAATTCGGTCAAATGAAAAGAGATGTAAATAAGGTGCATAGCTTCCATAACTGGTATCTATTAATGCTACGGGCAGAGTACTCTACTTATTAGTGCCATTATGTACACAACATATTTACATTAACATAATCAGAGCATACACTGGGGCTGAAGAATCAACAGATAACCTGGCTACAACATCCAGTTCAACCAGTCTACCTCAGTTTATTTTGTCTGACATTTTGATTTATCCACTACAGTAAAATGTGATCACTGCCTGCTGAGGTAACTGAAGAAAGGGAAGACTAACAGGGGCGACAGTGAAAAAGGCAAGAAAGGGATAAGCATCAATGTGGTTTCATGGTCATTTATGGCAGAACCACGTCTGAAGCTAGGAGAGGCTACCTGTAGAGTATATCCAGGTTCACACTGGAAAGACACCACATTATTCATCTGAAGACGCTCCCCAACCTTGATGCCATTCATAGGAACCACAGGCTCTGGACAGTTGGTCAGAGACACCGCTTAAGGAATAAAGAATAAATGAAAAGACATCAGAGACAGAGAAAAAGACAGGGAATATAATAATTATACAGAAAAAAATATAAAATGTAATTGAAATCTAACTAAAACAGTGCAGGAGAGATATCACAACCTGGGGAGAAAGGCAGCCAGCAAAAGAAATGTTCTCGAAGGTGTTGCTACTTTACATCAAGTAGTATGAACTGTTTTTTTTTTTACTTACTTTTGTATTCCAGCCTGAATCCAGCCGCAGACACACTAATATCAGAGAAAAAGTGGAGGTAGAGTTGGTTGGAGGTGCTGTTGAGGAGAGCTGGGACCGTGGTGCCTTGGGGAAAAGAATAATAGTAGAGTTTAACAATGCTATCTGGTGCATAGGCTGACGGTAACTAACTGTATAAGCTACTGGCAAATATCTGAAAAGTGCTGAAGCAAAAACACATGCATGGATGGTTGTTTATAGGTGCAATAGGATATCTGGGGAAACAGATGCATAATAGTGTGACCTACTCGATTTTAACAAGACAAAGAACGGATGCATTTGTTTCTTCCAATGTGTGGGTATGTAATCAGGTGAAAATAAAAGAAAACTACTTCTAAAAAAGGATACAACCATCACATAAAAACATCAGAACTACTATGATACTGCATGACCTAAAATTGGCTGTTTAATAACAAAAATATGTCAATATGGCATTTCTCTTTCATCTCTTCGCTTTAAGGTCCATCTAACATTTACTTTTAGTCTGGATCCAAGCACAAACAAAAGAAGAATTCCCTGCTGCTGTATCCTCACTGTGAGGGAAATAACACAGATTCTTTAAATCCACATAGAAAAGGCTAACCTTTGTAGAAATGTAACAAGATTTTCCCACAACCTAATGTACCAGCTGCCTTTGTACTCTTTGTTTACTTTAATTTAGCAATGTTACAATTCCAACTGTGCCAAATAAGACCCTCATTTTTAATACTGTACATGTTGGTTAACAAATACAGTATGTGTTCCAGGTCGTACGCTGCTCTGTGAATATTAATTAGGCTATGATGTTGCTTCGACTGTGATTTTGGGAAGTACAGATGAGTCGTTTTAAAATCTGTTTGATGTCCAAGGTTGATTAAACACGCAAGAAAATAAATGCACACACGCACGCACGCACGCACGCACGCACACACACACGCACACACACACACACACACACACACACACACACACACACACACACATGGCAATACCTGAGAAGCTGCCAAGCATGGTGTCAGTGTTGTCTCCTCCGTCAAACACCTCCAGTGAGTCCCAGTTCTGCTCTGTGACAAAGCTGATTACCTGGATCTGAGACAGGGAAGAGTAAGAAGGATTTAAGGAGCAGAGCAGTACCAGAAGGGGTCAAGGGTGTGTATGTGCATGGAGATCAAAATTGAGGTTGAAGGGCTGAAGATTAATGAGTGGGAGAAGGCAACATGAAAAGGTGTATGTGAAAATAGGCGACCCAGTGCAGGACTAAAAGCGTGGCTATTTGGCTAGTTACTGCTCTCACCTTAAGAGTAGTAGTCGTGCAAAACAACATGTAACAATCCTGTCCTGTGTACTCATTCTGTGTTTCACAGGCTCAAATAACTATATCAACTTTTACAGTACATAAGGTGAAAAAAATGTAAGTATCAAAGCCATAAAAGACTTCACACATAGCAAAAGTACAGAATTCTCCATAGACAACAGTTATTGTGCAATACAGTATGCCTTTCGCTTTCTTTATTTTGGAAGGCTGTGTTCAAGTGATGGCATTGGAGTTGAATTAAAAAAATGCATGACAGCTGCAGAGAACATTGGATATTTTTCAAAGAAAAGCATACTGAGACTTGTTCTTCTAACAACATAAAAAAGAAAGCACATACTGTAAGAACAGCATTCTGGAATCTCACAAAGGTTGTCTAAATGATGGATTTCAAAACTTATTTTGCAGTTGAATGCTAACCAAAGGAAGTGGCAGGCTCACTCCTAATACTGTAATTGCCAGAGCACTTAAAAATGAAAGCAAATGCGTGAAAGAGACTACTCTGTGCCATCTACAATGTCTCCGTCCGTCTTTAGCCAAAATTCATCAATTTCTTCAGCATTCTATGTGTCCTCCTTTATTCTTTTACTCTCTCCAAGCCTCCCTTTCTGTTCCCTCTCACATCCATTCCTCTGCCCTCTCGTCTGCCTCTGATGGTTATAGATCGGATACGAGCCAATTAAAGGGGCGGTAGGGGCTCTGGCACATCCTGGGGAGACGACGCAGATCACAGATTGATCTTTCATTAGGGGGCCACGGCAAATGTGCCGGCAAGGCACCTCGCTCCTTTAAGTTCTCCTCTGGATCGTGACACTCCAATCTAATGTGTCTCTGCTAGCTGGTAGAAGGGGAGCAACAATGAGTCAGACAGAAAGAAAGAGGATGATTAAGGGGTAAGTTGAAGTAGGAATAGTAAGGATGAGGAGGATTCACACGCCACATTTTGGTAGTACAGGCAGTGTCCTGTTTGCAGTGAGGGAGTGTGTGGGTGTGTGTTGGTGGTGCAAAAAAGACAAACTCTCATATAATTACCAAACTGTACTGTTGTCAGTCATGTATGTATACAACCCAGGTTCATGCTGTTTGGCTTTCAGAGGGATTCTTTCACCTCAAAGCTATTGCGGTATTAGTGTGTCGTGCAGCATGCTAAATGCAGCTATGGGCCATCTTGTGCATTTGACCCGCAAGGACAGTCAGCTGAGGTAGAGGAGCTAATAGCTGAGGGACGGCACTGAGGTCATTAGCCACAGAGGCTGAAGCATAAGCCTAAAAACTTTCCGTCAGGCAGATCCACAGGGACCCTGCCCAGGTTCCTAGTGGAGTTCCATCACACACGCATCAAAGAATAAGAATATGCAAAGTGAATTAACTCCCAAGAAAGAAAAGTAAAGTAATTGAAAATGCAATTATATACAAATTTATTTCAGGTTGTGCAATTTTAAGTTTCTGGCATAGTGAGCTGCAAAATTAAATTCTGCAAAGTCTATAGACTATCATTTAGCAGCTCTCCTGTAACCTTAGATCTGTAAATGCTACACCCTATTATACTGTGGTTAGGTCTGTTAATTAGCCCTTGGTAAGCTGAAACCATATCAACACACAGGAGCTTGTTGTCAAGACCATGCAGAGCTGTAAAGGTTACAGGCCAAAGGTAAACAATATCTGTTAATTCCTGTAATGGTCTGACCAGAGAGACCATTTTAAAAAGGTGGTTTACGTAATATGTTTAAAGTGAACAGATCACTGCAGCTCAGCCTCAGGCTGTTCATTAAAGGAGACAGAATCATTGGAAAACTAACATGCTGACAGTAGGAAGGTAAAAAACAAAAAACAGCACTTTAAATCAGAAATCCATTGTTATTACATTGCAGGCCTGTAAGTAAATTTTTGTATTGTATTACGAAGTGCATTATTATTATAACACTGCTTACCTGTCATTTCTAGACAGTGTGTAGATAGGTTGCAAATTTTATACGTCTGCAGTATACGTGCCAAAACTGAATTTCTCTTACCCTTCCCAAAACACAGACTTTGACTTCTTGTAACATCTAAGGACTTTGATCCTAACAGTAAATACTTTGGCACACTTCTTCCTCATGAGCTATTATTGTGACTTTCCCCCTTTTGTGGACTACAATCAGAGCGTTACTCCTTCGGTTTGGATAGAAATATGGGACTGGATTTGGGATGGGTTAGGGGGTGTGACATATTTACACACGTTGTAAATTAATCTGTCTCTGATTTACTCATGGATTTAACAAATTTCTGAAAATGTACATTGATTGCCAGGTACAGACTCTGTCATACAAACCTGGATTCCTGAACCTTCAGGGACTGTGATCTTCCAGACACAGTTGAGGCTGTTGAGGTAAGGCTCAGGAAAGCCCGGGGATAAAATGGTGCCAGTTCTATGGGTCAGATTGCCTCCACATGGAACTGCAGGAATGAAAAGATGCAAGTCATATTAGCAGTGTGCCAAATGTATCACAGCTACCAACTGGATGTACAAAGATGCAGGGAGAGTAAGATTAGGTATATGCATACACACATGAATACATTTGCACACCGAAATGACTATAAAAAATGCTAATATTAATCTTCCTCCTTAATCTTTTTTCCTAAAACATAGATGTGATTCTGCTAGAGGGATTAAGGAATTGTCTCAAAACAAATGTCAAAACAAGATGAAGATCACAGTTAACCAAAAGATTAGAAAGCAAAGAGAAGTCAAATTATCTTCACTTTCTGCTTGTTTTAGGAAAAATAAGTTTTTTAAGACACACTAAACTTAAATGATTTAATCACAACTACATGGAACTTTGGAGTCTGATCCACCTGGCAAGTGCACACACATGCACATTGTACTAGACACACTGTAACACTGTGTTTACAGTCTTCAAACACTGTCTTCCCAGCTTGTTCTGCACATTTACACATCTGGTGACAGCGGAGGAGCATCTGCTACAGCTGTATGTAGTGTGTGTGAGGATGTGTCTTTCTATATACATATGAGCATGTGTCTGTATATTTGTGACCCTCAGCAGTGCCTGCCACCTGTGTGCCGCGTGGCTAAATTTCGCAGTATCGCTACAGGCGACGGCTGGCAGCCCACATCTGTGTCAGAGTAACGAGAGTTTGACACTCAAGGCATCAAGTGAGAGAGACATTGCGACGGAAGCACGGGTGGAGAGAGTGAGGAAAAAAGTAATGAAACAAACAAACAAATAACAGATGAAACCAAGAGAAACAAACAAATGAGTGTGTAGGTGTTTGTGTTTGTGATACTTTCTGTATTTGATACTCATGTCGTACCTATACAGCTGGGTATGGAGCTGTTCCATTGTGCCAGAGCATTAGGAACCGTCAAACACTCAATGGCACTCGATCCCTCCAGCATATAACCTGGACTGCACTCAAAGCGGATCACGGCGCCAACAGCAAAGTTGTTACCCATACGGCGGCCATTCCGGGGCTCAGGGACTGAGCTGCACTGGGTGGCACTGGTCCGTGGCACAGCTTTGAAGAAACAAAGCGACAGACAGGGTGATTACAGGTGGAGATTAGGTCATTATCTGTGACATTTCCAAAAAATGATACTCTCTGTTACTGACTATGATAAGTTCATGATATATTAATCAATTAGTTTTCCAAACACTCAGCACTTGATCAATGGAGAGATTTGTTAGAAACGTTAGTATAGGTGTGACTGTCAGAATAATCACAAACAGACCATACTAAATGTGGTATTCAACTTCTCTTTGCCTTGTGGTTCTTTCAGCTTTCAATAAAATGCAAAAAAATGAATCATTTATTCATTAATCTTTTTCCAGAGCAGTCATCGCCTTTGGATATCTGAAGCAAATGACATTTCTGGTACAGTGCATTGTTTAAGGAAAATAACAACTCAAGAGAAAAGTCCTTCTTAGGGGAATAAAGGACCAGGGGAGTTTAAACACAACCTTTTCAACAGACTGCTATACTTCTACAGTGTTACTGCTCCAGAGCGCACACTTCTGCCGACACACGCACACAAACATCACAAATGAAATAGTGGCTGAAGGTGAATCCTTTCGAAATCACTCAGCAAGTCATCTATTATGGAGGGGAGCTGTGGCTGTTAGAAAAGAGGGAATCAAAAAGAAACAGGGCAGTAGGAGTTGTTTGTGTGCATGTGCTTGTGTCTTAAACACTTACCCTGGTAAACCAGGTGGAATCCTCTAGAGCTGGATTGGCCTTTGGAGGTGAAGCGGATCAGGATTTGGTTGGAGGTTGCTAATGGCAACGACTCACCTAAGATGTGGAAAAGTTAAAAGACACAATTTGCAATGCCATCTTATCAGCTAGGCAGTTAAATAACTAATAGTTCATGCATCTGTCTGCTACAATTCAAGTAAGATGTGAATGTTAGTGAATATTTCAGGGAGGGAATCTGTGTGTCCACCATGAAACTTGCAAAACAACAATCTGCTAATGATTGGGTGAAAGAGGACATACTGGGGTTCTCTGAATGTGGATATATTTGTTCATGTACAGCAATGCAGGAAACTGTGTGATTTCAGTGAAAATTAGCTGTTCAGTCTAGAGCAGTGCAATGTGACATTAGGTTTCCCAGCAAGACCTACTGTTATGAAAATATAACATGCTTATACGGCTTTGTAAGACATATCACAATATGGAAATACTTGGAGATTATTAAGATTATGCTAATATTGAATACAGAACAACGCTTATCTGCTATGCTTATTGGATAGCCAACAATTTCCTTCAGCTATATCGTGACTAAATGGGGGTCCTGATTATTGGCACTGATAGCATGTCACAGGAACAGCTGACCGCAGTCTGTCTACGACACATCAAGTCATGTCCTGGAAGCTTAGAAGCTACTTTTGATCAGCATATGTATGAACCTTAAACAACATGTCAGCTCACTGTCATGTTTCTTGTTTTACCCAGCTCAGAAACATTTCTAATTTACGGTTAATTTCTTTGGCTTGTCTCAGCTGGACTACTGTAACTCTCTGTTCACATCCCCAATTATCAAATCATTACTGGAGAATCTGCAGCTGGTTTCAAATGGTGCAGTAAGACTCCTAAGTGCTGTAACAACCAGCTGCACACATCACACCTCCCTTGGCTTTATTTCATTTGCTTCGTGTGAAATACAGAATCAAATTCTAGACTGGGTTTATCACCTGCAGTGTAAGGCTCTTCACAATCAAGCTCCTGCTTACATTCAGGGCTCTAAGTTCACCTGATCAGGGCTTAGTCGCTGTCCATCTGTCTTTTGTCATTGTAGCTTTCAGGTTTTAGAACAGCATATTTGGTCAGTCAGGTTTGCTTTTGAATGTAACTGAAAACCTATTTGTGCAGACAGGCCCTTCGTTAGTGTTTTGTTTGGTCTTTGTGTGTGAAATCTGTTTTTTAACTGAAATGTAAAGCATTTTGTGAGGTTTTCTCCACAATATGACATATCCATAAACTAAACGCTACATTATGGGCATATATATTGAGAAAGGGGTTCAACACTTCATGGGGTTTATGGGGTCTGTATGTTTACTATAAAATGATTCCTCAAAGAACATTTAACTGTGCCAAAATGCAGAACCTCTCACTATAAATCATATCCTCAGAAAGATTTTATGATATGATCGCCTGCTATCCTCATCAGCTCATAGTGTAATTAAACAAAAGGAAAGCCCCATGATGTATCCACTGTGGTGGAAAACTATTTGTTGACTGACGTCGAACATGATACGAAGCGTGAGCATCTCTGTCTCTGCCTCTCTGTCTTTTTCTCAGTGTGCTGCTGACTGGCTCTCTGCAGTGGATCTCATTACTCTGTGTCTGCTTGCTGTCACACTGTAGTGGGAGGCAGACGTGCTTAACCCCAGAGGCAACATCTGCCTGTCTGCGTGTGTGCGTCAGTGAATCTATCCCATGCATGTTTTGCTCACGTTTTCTTGTGCGAAAAAATCTGCTCTTAAGTGCAGTATGCTGAGATATGGCAATGCCAATTTATAATGCGTCATCACTGCAATTGTTCCGAGTTCCACTGTAGGATCCCCAAGGCATGCTGGGTAGTTTATTAGAGGAAGCCCTTGCTGTGTGCTATCATGGTGACAGTGTTTCATAATTTGCTGTGCAGTGCAGGTATTCATCTAGACAGATCAAACGTGTGTCAGCATGAAACTTATCAACCCTCTGGCCACTTTCCAACTCCTAACCACTTTGTCCTTAAAGTGATCCTTTACGCTGGCAGATATGACTTTGACTGGAAGTCAATAGTCAAAATTCAATGTGCTGCTGTTGGTGTGCACTGGTTCAGATACAGTATTCATGGGGAAATTACATGATAAAAGTAATGAAACTTAAATGTAGTTGAACTAAAATGTATTCCCTAGTCACACTTAGAATGGTGACCAAGAGATTGACAATTGCCTTTTTTTTTTAAGTCTATTCAAAAATGACCATTATGATAAGTCTCCTTGATTTCTTGATTCAGTCCTTTCGTCCTTTCTGCCACAAGGTATCATTTTCTTTTGTATGTTCCACATAACTTATTCAACTGACCCTTTCCTTTCTTTTCCTTTTATTCTGTTTGTCACCACTGCCTCTGACAATTCACAATCATTGCCCTTTCTGCTCACTATAGACTGACTTGTCACACCAGACATAAAAAAAAAAACATACTGTTGAATGCTCTTGTGAGACTAGGTGATATAATATGCTTTTGGAGGTCAATGCAGGTGTTTTGACTACTTTGAATCACTGTGTTGGACAAATAATATCCTGTCAGTAAAAAAATCATTACCTGACTGCCTATTTACCTCCCAGAATGGCAGCTTATATATTTAGACTGTATGGGTGAATTTCTTTCTTTATAAGCTTGCAGAAGTGTATGTTAGTTGATTAGTGAGCTTCAGTGTATCTGTATGGTAAAATGCATCTGGATTATGCCTAATTCATGCTAGCTCTTCAGTGGCCCTGTGTGTGTGGGCTAAAAGTCTCTCTTCGCTTGCCAAAGTGTGTCAGCTCTGCTCTGCCATGCCTGGTTAGAGAGCTCTGTGAACCTGCCGCCAGGAGTCTGCAGTTAATATAGCGTCCTGTTTATTGAGCTGTAAACTGGATTTTCTGAGGTCGCCCTGGACACAAACCAAAGTAATCATTTTGCTTTTGTCAAGCCACAGGGCTAGGAGAAGGCTGAGATGGAGAGCTGCCCTAAACTCACAAACCTTTTCACCCGACCCCCCTTTAAAGGTTGTATTTCCCCTATTCAATCTATTTCTTTTGTAGTCCATTAATACAGCTGTGGCATTAATCACATCCATGCATCCACAATTTTACAACACTGTTGCAACAGAAATAATTCTCCTTCACCTTTGCACTTTTAACCTTACAACAGTGTTTTTTTTTGCTTTTCACAATCCTCTTACATGACTGCTTTTATTCAGTTCTTCTTCATGTCTTCTGTACTTCTGTTGGACATGTGTTCAGAAATGTCTGTAAAAAAGGGCCATTTATAAAGCCCTAGGGACTAGTTTAGATTTAGAATTTAGGATTTAGGATTAAGGATACAACAAAGATCAGGATTATGCTCAGATAAAGGTAAAAAAAAAAATCTAAGTAAGTTTAGGGTTTAGGGCCAGCATTAACATCATACCCTTGCTTTAAAGTTGTTTTATGATAGTTATGATAGTTGCGGCAATGTTAATGCAGCTTTGAGTACTTTGTTTCAGGTCTTCATGCTAAAAGTCGGCAGCTATTTTCTTGATGAAAGAGGGTGAGGAAATCTCATGTCTCTGGCTTAAACCCGGCACAACACTATTTGTCTACATAATAACATGCACATGTATTCAGACAGTTGACATGTGTTTGTGAAATAACAAATCAGGTTTAAGAAGGATCCATGCGAGTCTTCTTGAGCCTGTCTGCTGATGTTATCCCTGTGACTCTTTTAGTTGTTGTCACTGGTGGATTGTTTTACAGCTCACTGGAGCCCACCTGCAGCCACGGCAGCTCTGCATGTGTCAGCAGTTTGTCTCTAAGTTTAACTTGATCCTTTTGAAAGGGATAAGGCTGAGACAACAATTCTTTCATTTTGTCCCCTCTCATGTCAAAAAATAATGGCCAAGAGGATAAAATAGTCAAATCACATTTGTGGATCTGTTACATGCTGAAGCTGAATAAAAGCTGTACAAGCATGTAGTCTTGCCTAGCTGCAGTTCAATCTAAATAGCTTCTATATTCCAGAGTTTGATATCTGCTGAAACTTCAAACATAGCAGTTACCCAAAATTTGAATGCATAAAGACATCTGAATGTGTGTGTTTTGTTAAAGTACCTGTGTGTGCTCCAGAAAGGGAGCTGAGAACACGGGAGTGCTGTGTCGCCCCATCATAAACCTCCACAATGTCATTCAGAGCTGTCTGGAAGAAGGCGAATTGGCTGAAGACCACTAGAAATGACGGATGAGGAAAGAAAATTGACATCAGAGGAGACAGAAATTAGCTTAAATTATTGACTGCATCACACTCACTCTGAACACTCAAACATCCATTTGAAATTACACAGAGCATCAATAAAAAGCACTTTGTAATATCCACTTTCAAAAAGAATATTATCAACAGCAATTTCAATCAAAATGTCTCTGCTTTAAAGCAAGGTGGATAATACCACCAGTTATGACAACACAACCCAAAACTGATATTACACGACTAGATCAGCAAGCCTGTCTGGACTTGATGGCTTGTCAGTAGATGAAAGGCTTTGGCAATGACAGCCAATCTGTTGCACAATGTGCAGCTAAAGCTCCATGATGGAGCTTTCATCCTTTCAACCAACCATTTTTTTTACAGCTATTGCCTGAATATATTCAGCGTCTCACATTTATTCTATGTCTAGTTTACTTGTGGCGAATATTGCAGGTTAAATAGAAGGATGAGTATGATGAGGGAGAGAGGGAGAGGGCAGAGGGGACACAGGACCAGTGCTCTCCATTAGGTGTGATCGCAGGACCTTATCATCTGAGTTAAACTTCAATATGAAACCGCATCTGTTTTCTCCTGCTCAACTTCAGTGATTTCCTTTATTCGTACATCATCTTTATCTCTATCTATCATAAGAGCAGCCAGTGGTTGCAGTGACACCCACTCCGTCGTCTGCGTTGAAATAGCCTATCATTAGGGCTGGTGCATCAGCTTAATGAGAAGCGGCAAGAATGGAGGCGAGAGCAATTTTGGCTCCGCACGACAAAGTGTGTTGCCCTGGGCCTCGCTGTCATTTTCCAGGAAAATGCAAATGTGGACTTTAATTATTTCAATTTCCTCTCTCGGTTTGAATCTGTTGAGTGAAATATGTTGCCGACAGGGTCCAAGAGGGATGGGTGCCCAGTCATTTTGGAGCCACGCCGGACCTCTGAATGGGCGTCATGACCTCGACATTCAGAAGACTGGGGTGAAGTACCCGAAAGCTAAACACATGCCAGGCACTGCCGTTTGGTGTAATTTAACAATGATGGGATTTGAGCTTTCCCTTAGAGAGGCACAATGCTGATAGCTCATTAAAGAGCCAGAGGGAGGAGAAAAAGAAGCATGGAATAAAAAAAAGAGAAAAGACGGACAGAAAGTGAAGCAGAGACACATCATGGACAAGTAAGTGAAACATGTTTGCTTCTGAATTTGCATGTTTGAGCTGTGTCACCCTTGTGCATTATTTTGCTTTCTGAATAATTTGCTGCTCCTACAGTATCAGATCACTTATTGGAAGCAAGCTGTGACCTTTAAGATGGAAATGCCAAAATGTAGAGAAAATCCACGAACTCTGGATCTCCCAGACACCAATTATTTTTGGTTTGTGCGTGTGTATATGACAGACATTGTTCTACCTGATGTGTAAAATAGTGAATAAATTGTTCCACCAAAGTAACATGAAAATATGTGTATGGCAATGAGACGGATGGATATGGGAACTATCAATCACTGTGTGATTTTACTATGTAAAAATGCATAGAATAACTCTCTGACTAAAGAGTTTTAATTGCACACACAATATGGTGTGTGTGGGAACTTTTACAAGTTTTGTTTGTTCTGTCCTACGCATCTATCGCTGAGAATATTCAGGTGTGAAAAAAGCTTTTTCTTCCTACATTTATTAGGTTCCACAGTGAAAAAAATAGGTAGATTTAGTGAAGCTCTTGAGCACAGTTTGAGCCTGATAAGGGCATTTTGTGCATCTTAATTAAACACACATGATTACCCACCTGTACACACTCACAGGCGCACGCAAAAATGCACATTTAAAATCTGCTAGGAAAAAAATGACCAAATACAGTAACACAGTTCTCTTCCTTGGCTTACCATAATCCTTGGGCACCACTACAGAATAGAGACAGGTCCGTGCACTGCTGTAGTTGCCAGGGTAACCAGGAGACAAGACCACTCCCTCCAAACCTGAGTACTGTCCACCACATGGAGCTAGAGAGAGACACCGAGATGAGACGTGAAGAGACAGGGCAGAGAGAGAGGGAAGGTCTAAAGCCAATAGTGTAGGATTCCATTTCTCCCCCTACCTCCTGCTTTCCCATCCCCTCTGTTCCATTACTCCTAAATTACTTTTCTTGTCTGATTGGACTTTGGGTGGAAGATGTCCCTGGTGTTTGCCACAGTGAAATTGCAATGTTTTCCAAGTGTCCCTCTGGGTTAGTCTGGGTGAGATGAGGCCCGGATCTCCTTTCCCTGCTTAAAACACCTAAAAAAATGCTCTGAGCACGCTTGTATCTTTGTGCAAGCGCTGATCCCATGTCTGTGACTGTGTTTTGCTTGTGTGAAAATGTGCGTGGTGTGACCATGTATTCCACCTGACGTATAACTGAGGCTTCACAATGTAAGACCTATATTCAGTGGCGTCTGGGATCTTTTACAAGCTTTTTCGGGGGAATATGCACAGCGTGTGTTAGTCGTGTCGTGGGAATGTCAGAGAGCAGCCAGGGTGACGCAGGTTTGGTCGTGAGTGTGAGGAGCAGATATGCAAAATAAGAAACTCTCTTCAAACTGCAGATTAAATTAAAGCTACACCCTCAGATCTATTAACATTAGTAAAACCCACACGGCTCTTCACAAATGCCTGTAGGACACAGCTCTGTGCAAAAATACACATAATCATACGTGCATGTTTACATGTGATAAATCTATAAACACTGATGTGGTTTGTGTTCCTAACAACCGTCTCCAGATGTCAGTGTTTACCAATGCAGATGGGTTTGGGTTTGTTCCAGCTTGGCTTGCCATCTCCCCCCATGATGCAAGTGAGGGTTGGGTCTCCCTCTAGTGTGTAGCCACTGTCGCAGTGGTAGGTGACAGTGGAGCCCAGCTTGAGGTCGGTGCCCACCCGTGTACCATTGCGCACCAGCCCCGGCTCGAAGCAGGACTCCCTGGGGTTCTCTGTGGAGAGAGGTAACACGGTGGAAAATCAGCAACAGAAGGGAGCGCACGTTGGTATTCAATAAAGGGATTTTTGCATCAAGCTGCAGCGGTGATACTGGAATAGAAATTGTTTTCTGCCTAAGGTTCCTGATATTCTCGGATTTCTCACTTCCCTTACTCGTTCCATTTTTCCCCACTACTCTGTGCTTTCCTCTTTCAGTAAATATATCTCACTGACTGCCACTTTTCTCTCCAGCCCTTGACGGTGCCCTTTCATCTGTGGCTGCTGGAGGTATGTATGGCTGTGAAGACAGACAGGCAGCTGATTGAGAGTGGCATTGCTCTGGCCCAAGGTCTGCTGACTTCACACAACCGCCTCTCACACAACGCTTCACTGTGCAGTCAACTAGAGAAGACAATGCACATACGCAAGCTTTCTTGCACGAGCACACACACACGCACTCGCATACTCGCCCTCAACACACACATGCGCTGTATCTAACCACATATCAATCATCACTCCTGAGGTCGTAAGAAAGATGTCTGGCTCAATCTACCATCACATTGTTCTTAGATGGAAAATGTGCATGTGAGAGGAGGCCTGTCAATTTGGCACACTTCATGCTCTTACAGCTAAAATAAACACAGAAAAAATATCCAAAGCAATTTAGTTCAATCTTAGACACAGTCCACTCTCACAGCAAACTTCAATATTTGATGACTTATCACACGCATACAAAAGGGAAGGTGAGTGAAATGGTTTTTTTTTGTCAGGAAAACTTCAACTTACAATTTAGTGGCAGACAAAAATAAGTGCAAGAGCCTCAACTACCACAACATCAACTAGTTGAAAGCAAACTTTTAACAATGTTTGTATTTTAAAAGCATCTATTCATGAAGTTTTTTCTTGTTCCACCATCTGCCATTCAGAGAAAAGGTTTAATTTTCACTATGAACAAAAATAATATTTTAAATATGAATAATTATATGTAATATAATAATTGTAAAGTAATAAAGCCTATGTCTACATAAAGTTCTAATGATTTATTAATGATACAATGTACAAGTAGTACCTTCGATTAAGTCCTAGTTACTAAGCTGAAAGCTGGGGACCTGCTGACCAGACTGAAGGGCTGCCCTTCATGGCTGAACAGAGTGCAGGGGCCCGGCATGTGGTCTGTCTGTCTGTCACCCAGGGCACCTGTTCTAGACAGGTTGAGCCCTTTTGTGGGCTGATTTAGACCTGAACCTTCCCTCACCACCTACTTCATTAAACCGGCACACCTGGCAAGAGACAGTGGAGGCGTGATGGATGTAGCAGGCATTAGGTGTGGACGGGCCCTGGACACAAGCTAACGGTGAGGAAGGTCGGTTGCCGCAGAGAGACTGGCCGATTTAACAAGCCTTGCCCTGGGACATTTGTAGGTGTGAGAGGAAGTGGACGAGTGGCATCATCTGTTTTAGAAAATACTCAAAGGAGTTTAAGTGATGTGATGTGAAGTGAAAATGAGCCTAGGAGTTGGTGAAGGTATTGGGTTTGACAGATGTGAGTATGAGGGTGCTTGTGTGTGTGTTTTGTTCCTGCGTGTATCTGTCCATGTCTGTGTGTGTTATTCAAATGTGGCTCAGGCATGGAAAGTTTTTGCCCACATATTTCCCTGGAGAGCCTAATCAGACATGGCCAGAGACACGGAAACAGAAAGACATAACGATTGCTTGGTAAAGAGGCTGACAGCACCTCAGGCAGATTTTGTAATGCAATTTTCAGCGGCAGGCTGACCAAATACTAGCTGGGCCAACTTGTCAACTTGCTTCCTCACCAAATAGACCCAAACCCACAGCCAAACACGCTTTTGTGCCATGTTGTTTGTCTGAAACTGAGGAGGTAATTTATGTATTATTTGGTTATGGTTCATTAGTGTGGAGAATTGGAAGTAGGGAGAGGGAGTTTTTCTGAGCCACACACTGGGTCCATCTGCTCTACCAGCTTGGCCATACAATATCACACACTGTATCACACACTGCAGTAAATATCGATGGGAGTGAGTTAAGGGGTAGGCTCTATAACACTGTCTTACCAAAACACTTTGCTTCACTCCATTTATGTACTATTTGCAAATGAATCACAGAACTGCATCGCATAAACAGGTAGCGTTCTGAAATCGGTTGAATTGCTTATACAGATCAAATCCCATCTGAACACCAGCCAAGAAACAGAGAGCTCAGGGTCGATCTGGAATTGGTTAAACGTCTGATACCTTAAACAGCTCTAATTGAGGCTGGGAGATTTAGGAAGATTTAACACTGTTCTCTCAAGCAAAGCCCTTAACGAAGATGCCCTGTCTAATTTAGAGCTTGTTCGACGTCTGTATATTTGTTAGGAAAAGGCTTTAACCTACAGCCACTAAGGCGTTGCCACTGCAAGGGTGAAAGGCAGAAAACGCAGGTGTATTGCATTAGCCTTAAACCAACAGGCCCTCTTTCAAGAATGCCTGTGATCATTCTGCACCATGTGTGCAGCGCAGAGTAACTCGTGTGAGCAAATAAATCTAGGTCCACCAAACAACATGCTGCGGTCAGCTAAGCTCAGACATGAGACAACAAAACGTTGTTTGCTCTAATTTATGAGAAGCCTTTTGTGCAGCTGCAAAGCACTGATCAAAAAGATCTTAAGCACACATGCTGTCGGCTTTTCATTTTCATAATTCTTTGTTATAGTCGGCTACTGGAGGGGGTGCAGATCAATAATGACTCCCAGGCAGACCACGGCACAAATGGGAGGGTGGTGAGGACGCTGCAGCACAGACACCCCATTCTTTCTCTGAAGCAATTTTCACACAACTAATCTCACTCGCTTTGGACTAGACACAAGAGAAAGTTAAAAAGAAACAATCTGCAAGGTCGATAAGCAGCAGAGGGTAAATCCATTCTCACTCTGCCAGAGGAAGAATTTTAAAACATGAATTGTTTAGGGGATAAAGCCCCACATACTATTTAAAATTCACTGTTTTGTTGAGAATCTTAAGGCACTGCGCTCTTAAAAATGCACACACAGACACACCAAATCCAAGTTTCCACTAACTTTATAGTTTTATCTAATTAACCAAATACTGTACTTTTCACTGTTCCAAAAAAAGATGCCCACCTGTGTACTGCAGCACAAATCCATTGCTACTGAGGGAAGCATCACTCCGGAAGGCCAAGAAGAGCGTGTTGGAGCTACTCTCAATGCGATCTGGAACGTCTGTGCCATAGAAACTACCTAGCAAGGGGCTGAGGGAGTCCGGCCCATCGTAGATATGTAAGAAGTCATAACTGGGCTCCAAGCTGAACCTGTTACAGAAGTAAAAATGAAATGTACATAAACATTTGCAGCTCACATGAGATATAATAAGGTAAAAAACACTGGATAATATAATAACTGGTAATATGAATAAATTAATAGTGTTTTTATTTTGTACTGTTGTATAAAATAGGTATACAACTATGATTGAAATGTCCAATTTCAAACTCCTAACACGCGATTAGTGTTTAGTGTTTTAAGCTACTGAAGCTTACTGGTTGAAGCTAAGAGCGATGACATAGTCCTGTGTGACAGTAACTGTCCAGTCACACTCCCTTCCATGGGGGTACGGTTCAGGATAGTCTGGAGACAGAATTAGTCCACTAGGACCTGTCAGGTTCCCGCCACATGGAGCTATGAATAGAAAGGAAATTGATTAGTAAATGCAGTAGTAAACACAAGAACACCAATTTCCTATTGTGGATTCATCCAAAAACCTATTGTCACATAAAAAAATATTTAAATAGTTGTAGAATGGCTAATATAACTATTGTGAAACTACTAACTAATATATAAGTGAGATAATATATACTACATTACTAACAACATTTTTTGTTTTAAAGACAATCATTATTTAAAATTACACAATAACAAACAGGCTTCAAAGCTACACAACGTTTTTAAACGTTTTAAGAAACACCAACTTTCAAAGTAGCACATACATAGTTTTTTGTTATTCATTGCTGTATGTGCTATATAGCTTCCCTGCAGGAAGTTTTAGTACTAGACACTTAATTGAGACCTAACTAATGCACATTGACATTGCTTACCATGATCTCACTGCCCTGCACAACCCCTCACAAAACAAGATCAGACTAATTAAGCTAAACACTAATTAGACAAGGCAGTTCATTTGAGGGTCTTAATTGCTATTGTTAATTCACATTGTTTTGTAGAGCACCAAGTGTGATCAAATATAAAAAAGTAGAAGAATACAGGTCTGACTGAGAGGTCTGTATTGTTATTGAGAAACAGGATAATCAGATCTCTCTGTCTGCTGCAGTGACTTCAGGAGACATCTAGGGAACACGGCAATCGGGTTTGCCACTTAAGATTCACTTAAGGAGTCTGTTAAGTAATCACGTTAGGAATCTGTATTGTCTACTTGTTTCACAGAAGTCAGACCAGGACAGAGGCGATACAGTAGACTGCATTAGGCAGGTTGTGGGGCATAATATACTTTATAAGGTAAGTTTCATTTGTATACTGTTCTCTTCTGCCTGTACACATTATACCATTTCAAATCTCATGACTACATACAGTTTACACAGACAAACTTTAGGAATATACTGTATTTCACTCACTGCGTAGTCACTCAGCAGTAACAAATATGTGACAACATTCAGACTATGATCATATTCATTGTAGCATCATTAGCCATGACTTATGATTACATGCTGTGTTAGTACCTGCACATGTCGGAGGGTCTGGCTGCCAAAAGAAGCGACCGTTGATTTCAGTGCAGGTGATCCTGTTGGCTCCCTGCAGGATGTAGCCAGGATCACATTGGAACGCCACATGGTCCCCGGGCTCCCTGCTGTCCCCGCTGCGGGTCCCATTAGTAGGCATGCCCGGGTCATTGCAGGAGGTTGCAGTAGAGACTGAAGGAGCAAGAGGAGGCTTAATCATTGAAATCATTGAATAACTTAGTTTTGTCTCTCTCTAAACCCAGTTGTAACCCAGCCATTTAACCCATGTTCATCTAACATTTCCCTTTATTTCCGACCCTCATGCCATCATTCTTCATACTCACCAGAGAACTGCAGAGCGAAACCCTGCTTGCTTGTGAAGAAGTCAGTAGTGAACTGCAGGCTGACAGTGTTGAAGGTGCTGTGGGCATCTGGGGGAAGGGCTGAGCCACTCAGCTCCCTCAGCAGGACCCCTCCATCCTGGGGCCCATCCCAGATCCGAAGCACATCGTGGACTTCCTCCGTGTGAAAAACCAGGAAATGTAGACTGTTAAAGACAAAAGATATTTTAGAGGCCATGACAGTTGAAAGATTACACCCACTCTGATATATATATATATATATATATATATATATATATATATATATATATTTCTCCTTACTGATAGCAGTCTCAGGCAGACAAAAAGCTTTTTATTTTCTTACCGAAAAATTAAAATTGGCTCTCACTATTTGCATTTCATTGTGTTCAAACCAGCCTCGGGTCCTTTTAATGGATGATAATTGTAGCAAAAGTTCATATCATGCAGATTTTCCATTAACAGTTTTAGTCAAGAGAAAAATCTAGGCTCCAATTGTTCTGTTACATAATGTTATTGGTACATAGAATTTAAAAAAATCAAGGTTCAGTGTTTTGTTTGTATTATGCGAAATTCAATATCACGATAACACAGTAGAAAGGTACAAAAAAATATAAAATAATTAAAAATTTGGCTCTTAGCAATACAATTTACAATTTCTAAAATGTAGTAAAAGATGAGTCAGAGCAGAGGAGGAGGACATAAATGGATTTAATCAAACTACTAAGTATTTAAAAAGAATCAATGCACACAAGTAATGATGAGATTAAAGGAGAAATACAAAAACACAGTTAAGGCCAAGCATAAAGGAGGGAGACAAATAACATTTTAAAGTGAATCACAGACGCCAGATCCAGAGCATTGAAACGATGTTTCACAATGTCAGTCAAGCAGATACGTCTGCCACGGCATTTAATAGTTTGAGTCTAGACATCAGAAAGATGATGCTGTCAAAATATCTACCCTTCACTTTGGCGCAGACAGCTGTCAGCTAGCTGGTGGTCCACTGGATATGAAATGCACTGGAGTTGTATGTGTGTGTGTGTGTGTGTGTGTGTGTGTGTGTGTGTGTGTGGGTGTGTGTGTGTGTGCGGCAGCCTCAATGCAGTGAATTCTTAATGATATAACGCTGGGGTGTCTTGAGAGTGAGCATGTTTAAGTATGTGTTTTGGACTATCTCAGCAGGACTTAAGTGATAGAAACTGGTATTTTAGAACTAATGAGAGATTGGTGGTAATGTTGACATAGGCCACTCAATATAAAACTTAAAAGACAAACAGTATTCTCAGCAGCTATATCCTGCGGCAAAGTTTCAAATACTTACAAACTATTATTAAAACAGGGCCTGAATGTCAGCTTATCTAATTTGTGCCTTTGATTTATTTCCTCTGAAACACACTGCTGTCTCAAAGGCCTTCAAAATAAGAGAAAAGAGTGGAATGCACTGAGATGAAGGTGTACTCAAAGGAAACAAAAATCGTGTTGAACTGAACTTGACTCACCTGCTTCACACACAAAGTGTGTGTTTATCACAATAACACTGTTCTGTTTTGTTTTTTTATCCAAATGTCCTACAGCAAAAGAAAACTCTGTCTCTAATGTTGCCTCAAATTCTCACCCTGGATCATGTGTAACACCTCGCATGCATGTCACAGAGATACTGAGATTGCAATGGGTGAGCTCACTGGTTGACACTACTTTCATCCTGGTAACGTAGTTAACACAAAATAAAACAACAAAACGTATCCAAACCGTATGTAAATGCATTATATTTATGTCCCATGTTCCAAAATTTTTAATGATTCAAAGAGCTTATACAAAAACCTATTATGAAAATGGTTTCATTATGAATATTCACTGAAAATGATTTTTCCCTAAAGCAAATTCCCTAATTTTTCAATAATTTCAGTTGTAATGCAAAGCAAACAACACTTATTGTAATAAAATACTCATACAGCACTTGTGGGTTTTTTTGTGTAGTCTGTAGAACTCTATTTATTCTATTATTTCGTCCACAAGCTTAAGCTTAGATTATTATAAATCTGTCTTGTAGCCATTTTCTCAAAATATTTTAGTAGTGTTGAATCTATGTCTTAGTCGTTTGGAGGAAATAGTGGTACTTCTTAGTGCTTTTAGTATCCTCATCCTTTTACATACACACACGGATGCACACACACACACACAGGCGCGCACACAGGCGCGCGCACACACACACACACACACACACACACACACACACACACACACACACACACACACACACACACACACACACACACACACACACACAGAGCCTTGAGCTACAGATGATGCAGAGGAGAAACAGCAACCCACTGATATGTCGGGTTTAGCAACAAGTTCCCACCGTTTCTGCATAATTGGTGTCAGACTCCGATTCCCATACTGTCTGATGTGTGAGCAGCAGCCAGAGGCTACTCAACAATGGGCTGTGTGTGTGTGTGTGTGTGTGTGTGTGTGTATACTGTACATAACCTTCTTGACAAGTCTTCGCAATGCCTGTGAAAGTAGTGCACATAAAACAAACAGATGCAGACAGGCGCACCAGTACATATTCACGCAAATGTACACTGGTAGGTATATTTGAAGGGTAAGTACCATTACACGCCCGTATATGAGCATCCACTACAGGGAAACAGATGCAGGAACAGAGACACACATACATATAGTACACACTTAACTTCCTTATCTCTGCAAAGCAGCACATCACGTTTCCAACATTCATCATCGAAGAACTGGCATAAATACTAATCCTGTTCTATGTATTCATTCATCTGCTTACAATTCTCTTGCTAATATTCACTGAAGCATAGATAATACTGTGATATACAGTAATCATTCAAAGCTCAATGAAAATAACAATATTTTGCATTAAAAAGAAATTAAAAATATTCATACTAATACATTTGAGCTGTAAGAGGAGACAGAAGAGAGAGTAAGCTAAACCTGTTCTTCTCCTCAGTACTATGGGCTTCACAGACAACCAATTAAAATGACAAATTACATGGAATACATTTGTGTTTTCGCTGGTGACACAGAGAGTCAAACCGTGAAGTTTATAGTCTATTAAAGACACCCGTTCAGCAGCCCAAAGCTTGGAAAGATGGGTGTCAAACCACTGAATGTGGGTGTAAAAGCGAGCCCTCTTTAGAAACTACAGCTGAGGAGCAATTGAGCAGGGAAACTGACCCTGGGACGCACCGGCAACAGCAGTGCTCCTTGGCAGCTCCCAACCACCAGCTGCCAGACCTTTTGCAGATACACATTTACTTTTTTTAATCTACTTTCAGGAAGGTTCACAAGATAAAAAAAGTAGTGACAAATAAAGCAATAACAAATCATTAGATACTGCAATAATAAAGTAACACTTAGGTAAAAATCAATAAAAAGGTGTTTGATTATCTGCAGTGCTCATTCACAAACTTCTCATACAAAGACGAGGAGTCAATATATGCACGATTTCTCACACATACCCATCCTGGTACGCTACAACATTATATAATAATTAAATGTTGGTTAGAGTTAGAGTGGTGACCTACTAATCTCCATCTACCATTCTGGCTAGTTCCTTCACTCCCAGCTACCAAAGGTTATGCTCAAAGGCTTTCATCCCTGTCATGTAAGTGCCTCAGGCAGTCAGATGCCTGTTATGCAAATGCTGTTATGAAACCCTCAGGTACTGTGATCCTTTTAACTACGCTCCACTTCCCCATACCCTAGACAGGAGATGCTGAGGTGTTTCACAGGATTTGCCAGCACGAGTAAAACAAAACGAGTTTTGTGGTATGCGTGCCTGTGTGTCTTCCTGCATAGACTATCAATTTGCATATTTACAGCATGCCTGTGAATCGAGACAGATGTGAAGATGTGAGTGAGCATAGAAGATGGTTCGGAGGATTTGCATGAGCAATGTCGGAATCAGGCTCCAGTCACGTGTTGGATCCATGCTTATGTGCTGACGGGTGCTCACGTTCTAATGCAACCTTCAGGACTGTCAGACACCGAATGGCATCGTGTTCTATTTCCAGATTTATGTTTTAGAAGGAAGACGGAAAGGTGGGTGGAGAGGCAGAGGTACGTTGAGGGAAAGCAGAAGGTGAGGGAGGGAAGGGAGGGAACAAAAACAAGACTGATGTTAATCATTGCTAGGTTGCTGGAAGAAGGGGATGATGGCAGGAGGATAAGAGGTTGATGGAGAGCAGAGGAAGTTTCGAAGGATGGAGGGATTTGTGCTGAGCGGTTGGATGGATAGGATGGACGTGGGCTGCATGTTAGGATAATTGGTTCCTTTTATACAAGATCTAAATAGCCTATCTCTCCTTGTCACTTTCTAAGAGTGAAGGCTGGGGGGCGGGATAAGGAGATAGTGAAATAAAAGATGGTGAGAGGATAAGTGATGCAGGACGGTAGCAAGAAAAGATGTTGATACTGTCATGTACAAATCTCTCCGACTTAGTGGAACACATGTAGGGCATGTCAACTATACTTTTTAGTTAACAAGCCAATGCTTTTGGTCGTTTTCGTGCTCTGGGATGCAGACGCTGGTTCAACAAAGTGCTTCACAGCTAGTCATTCAAAGTTGTTCACTGCCGAGGAACTAGAAAGAGAAGTGTTAGCTACCGGTGGGGAAAGGCCATTTAAATACAACTTCAGGTAATATGATGGATGGATAAAACGACAGGCTGAGAGAAGTGGAATTACTGTATGTCTCACAGAGGAAAAGGAAATCTGGGTCTCTGTGTGCAGTTAACATTTTGTGGAATCACAGGAAGCCATGTTTTGAAGTTTACAGCTAAGGGCTCTCCTTTACACTTGTCCCCTTCTTAACGGGATAAAATAGCTCAATCAAGTGTCAGAGGAATTGCTGGGAGGAGATGAGACGGGAGAAGAGAGGGATGGAAAAGATTTCTCAGGTCCTTCTTTTTTATTCTGCCTTAATTATTTTGTATTCATATGAGAGAAATAGAGAGAGAAACAGAGAAAGCTGAGACTTTCTCACATGAATACAAAATAGTCTAGCTGCAATCACAAGTCCTGTGGGGAGTCTTCAGAGTACGTGTACGTGTGCATGAAGATGATAAATAAGTTAGTATGTGGGGGGGGTGCATGGATGTGTGTGTCTGTGTGTGAGTGTGAGGGAATGAGGAAGAAGAGGGATATAAAGAAAACA